TTTTTTTTTGGCGAATTTGAAGATTTCGGTCAACGCACGCACTTCCCGGTATAAAATGATGGAATTTGCAACCACCCATAGCGTTAACGACTATAACAGCATCCTTAGTTGTTAACGCCATTAGGAGGTCATCAGATACAGATGAACAAATTACCATCAGATATGCATGGTCAAACATCGGCGGATGCGTATCGGGAGTTCTCGATTTACCAGAGTATGGGAAGTGGAATCTACGACGCATTAGAAGGACAAACAGGAATGAACGGGGCGGTAAACAGTGGAATGGCGGAGGGAGCAGAAGACGAGATAGATAATGGTATGGTATCTGAAGCTAGTGATATAGAAGGTAGTACGTGTTATAATGGGGGCAAAGAGGAATCATCGGCGTATCCTTCTTGGTGTGTCCAGAATGGAGCACCTATTGACAAGGATGAGATCTGGCAGATATTTTTAAGGCTAGGAAATATATTTGGATTCCAGCGAGATAGCCAGAGTAATATATACGATCTTTTTATGACGCTGCTTGATTCGAGATCAAGTAGAATGTCATGTAAACTGGCCCTTCTATCGTTACATGCCGACTACATTGGAGGCGAGCACTCGAACTATAAAAAGTGGTATTTTGCAGCGCATTTCGAGTTAGATGAAAACGTCAAAGTGAGTAATAAACAGTGGAAATGGTTCAAGGACTTTGCAAAGTTCAAGTCAAAACTGAATACTCCTTACAACCTAAATGATCTTCAGAATTCAAACTGCTTATTAGCCATGGAATACAACTGGCGATTGAAAATGAAAAACTATACGGATGAAGACTACATCTATCAAATTGCTTTATATTTACTCATATGGGGTGAAGCCAACAATTTACGTTTCATGCCCGAATGTATTTGTTTTATCTATAAGTGTGCTTTTGATTATTTCGAATCTGTGGAACAGGGTACTACCGCCCATGAATTCGAATTCCTTGATACTGTTGTTACACCCATTTATTCATACATACGAGACCAACAGTATGAACTAGTGAATAATGTTTGGAAGAAATCAGAAAAAGATCATAGCGATATTATAGGATATGACGACGTGAATCAATTCTTCTGGTACCGAGGTAATCTCAAAAAGATAATGCTATTAGACAAATCTTTGCTATATGAGTACCCTCGGAGTCAAAGATATACCAAGTTTAAATCTATCAAATGGAAGAAATTATTTTACAAGACATACAGTGAACGTAGAACTTGGCTCCATTTATTCACAAATTTCAGCAGAGTATGGGTTATTCACGTTACCATGTTCTGGTACTATACTTGTTTTAATTCTCCAACAATTTATACCAAAAATTATGTTCAGCTCCTCGATAACAAGCCTGCACCGCAAGTTCAATGGTCAGCGGTAGCGCTAGGTGGAACAATTGCTTGTTTGCTAACTATATTGGCAACTGTTATAGAGTGGTTATTTGTTCCTAGAAAGTGGCCTGGCGCTCAACATTTATTTTTTAAGTTACTGCTACTTTTCTTAATTACCATCATTAACGCAGGTCCTTCAGTTTACATATTCTTATTTCTTCCAGTTGATAAATATTCAAAAATAGGCCACATTATTGGGATAGTACAGTTTGTTGTATCTATTATCACATTTCTTTATTTTGCAATTGAATCGCCTAATAGGCTTTTCAGTTTCTTGTTAAAGAAAAACTCAAATATTATCAAGACTGAAATATTCACATCATCCTTTCCTAAATTACACTTGAGGAATCAGATATATTCATATCTCTTATGGGTATGTGTATTTCTAGCAAAGTTCTCAGAATCATATTTCTTTCTTACATTATCGTTACGAGATCCTATTCGGGTACTCTCTATAATGGAAATGACAAGGTGTAAAGGAGATGTTTTTCTTGGTAATTTACTTTGCAAACAACAAGCTAGGTTTACTTTAATTTTGCTATATGTTACCGATTTGGTTTTATTCTTCCTAGATACTTACCTATGGTACATTATTTGCAATTGCATATTTTCAATCGGATTATCATTTTCATTGGGTATTTCAATCTTCACGCCGTGGAGAAACATCTTTTCAAGACTACCTGAGAGAATCTTCAGCAAGATTATTTATATGAATGGAACCTCGAAAATTGATTCTACATTAATAATTTCTCAAGTTTGGAATAGTATTATCCTTTCAATGTACCGAGAACATTTACTTTCAATCGACCAAGTGAATAAATTAGTTTATCAACAAATCAATGTATCTAATGAAGAAAGTATGGAGAAAACATTTCTTAGGTTTCCATTGTTCTTTATATTGCAGGATGATAATTCATTAAACTTACATGATTTTTTCACTGCTAGCAAAGAAGCTGAAAGAAGGATATCATTCTTCGCTCAATCTTTATCTAGTCCTTTGCCTGAACCTTTCCCAATTTTGGCAATACCAACATTTACAGTTTTAATACCCCATTATTCCGAAAAAATTATCCTTAGCTTGAGAGAAATTATCAAAGAAGACAAGCATTCAAAGGTTTCTTTGCTTGAGTATTTGAAACAGTTGCACTCGACCGATTGGGAATTATTTGTCGAAGACACAAAAATCCTATCTTTGGTTTCTTCGCAGCCATTGGATTTAGCTGAAAATGATTCTACTCAGAACGACCAACTGCTAAGTTACAAGCATGAATCTGATCTTGTGAACAATCAAATCAGCGACTTGCCATATTATTGTGTTGGGTTCAAAGATTCCTCTCCTGAGTACACTTTGAGAACAAGAATTTGGTCATCATTAAGATGTCAAACTTTGTTTAGAACCATATCCGGATTCATGAATTACGAAAAGGCTATCAAGTTACTATATAAACTTGAAAACTATGACTTTGATTCAAATAGTTATTTTGATGTTGATTCTGAACTTAATGATTTTGTACAAAGAAAGTTTAGGTTGTTGATATCAATGCAAAGATTTCAAAAGTTCCATGAAGACGAAGTTAATGATGCTGAGCTTCTATTTGGTATCTATCCACATATTCAAGTCTCTTATTTGGAAGAGGAAGTTAATGGAGACCAAACGACTTATTACTCAACTTTGCTCAATGTGTCGGAGGTAGATTCTTATGGCAACTACAAAAAGAAATATCGGATTAAACTTTCTGGAAATCCAATATTAGGAGATGGAAAGTCTGATAATCAAAATAATTGTATCATTTTTTATCGAGGTGAATATATACAAGTCATTGATGCAAACCAAGATAATTACCTTGAAGAATGTCTTAAAATTAAATCCGTTTTAGCTGAATTTGAAGAAATAGATATGGATCCTTCGTCTGAATATGTTCCAGGAATTTTTCTGGAGAATTCTAGGGATCCAGTAGCAATTTTGGGCGCTAGAGAATATATATTTTCAGAGAACATAGGAGTGTTAGGTGATATTGCAGCAGGAAAAGAGCAAACTTTTGGCACTTTGTTTGCACGTACATTGGCCGAAATCGGTGGGAAATTGCACTACGGTCACCCTGACTTTTTGAATGGGATATTCATGACAACAAGAGGAGGAGTCTCGAAAGCTCAAAAAGGTTTGCATTTGAATGAAGATATTTATGCTGGAATGACGGCCGTATGTCGGGGAGGAAGGATTAAACACTGTGACTATTACCAATGTGGAAAAGGCCGAGATCTTGGCTTCGGTACTATATTAAACTTTACTACAAAAATAGGAGCTGGTATGGGTGAACAAATATTGTCTCGTGAATACTATTACTTAGGTACCCAGCTTCCAATAGATCGATTCTTGTCTTTCTATTATGCTCACGCAGGATTCCATATTAATAATTTATTCATCATGTTGTCTGTACACCTATTTATGTTGGTTTTAGTTAATCTTGGATCTTTAAAGCACGAGTCGGTCGTTTGTATGTATGATCTGAATATTCCATATACTGATCTACAGATGCCATTAGGATGCTATAATTTGCAACCCGTTTTAAATTGGGTTTCTAGGTTTGTACTTTCAGTATTTATCTGCTTTTTCATTTCATTTATACCTTTAATTTTTCAGGAATTAATAGAAAAAGGGTTTATTAAAGCAATTTATAGAATATTCCATCATTTCGTTTCATTGGCACCATTTTTTGAAGTTTTTGTGTGCCAGATTTATGCAAAGTCATTAAAAGATAATATAACATTTGGAGGAGCCAAATATGTTGCTACTGGAAGAGGATTTGCTACTTCTCGAATATCCTTTAATATATTATACAGTAGATATGCTTCAACCTCAATTTATTCAGGCTCAACAGTATTTTTGATTGTTATTTTTGCATCTTTATCCATGTGGCAACCTTCCTTGTTGTGGTTTTGCATAACTTTCGTTTCTATGTGCCTTGCACCTTTTATTTTCAACCCTCACCAATTTTCATGGGGTGACTTTTTTATTGATTATAGAGAATTTTTGAGATGGCTTTCCAGGGGTAACTCTAGCTGGCATAGAAATTCGTGGATTGGTTTTATAAGATCCCATAGAGCCAAATACACAGGTTATAAAAAAAATGCTCTTGGTGAAGTTGGCCAAAGGATAAGTGATGCATCGAGGAGACCCTCAAGGTGGAATAGCTTCATTGACCAAATTTTCATACCAATTATATGCATAGTTTGTTACTTGGTGCCTTATATGTTCATAAATGCTCAAAATGGTGTCCCTAATCCAAGTCGGGTAAATCCAATATTTAGGATCATTATACTATGCTTTATTCCAATTGTCTTTAGTGTTTTGACAACCCTACTTTTGTTCGTCTTTTCATGCACCTTGGGACCTATTTTATCATGTTGTTGCACAAGAGTGCCAAGTTTCATTGCTAGCTTCGCTCATTTGCTGTCAGTGTTAATAAATATAGTTAATTTTGAAATATTCTTATATTTGGAAGGGCTAAATTTCACGAGAACTTTATGCGGATTTATCTGTATGGTTGCAATACAAAAGACTATATTACAATTTACGATGTCAATTTGTTTATCCCGTGAATTAAAAGATGACTATAGTAACCGAGCATGGTGGTCAGGAAAATGGATAACCAGTGGGTTAGGTTGGCTTATTATAACTCAACCCTTGCGTGAGTTTGTGGTTAAAATATGCGAAATGAATCTCTATGCTTACGATTTTATACTAGCACATTGTCTCCTATTCGTCATGGGTCCAGTCTTATTAATTCCTTTTATAGATAAGTGGCATTCGAGTATGTTGTTTTGGTTCAAACCATCGAAGCAATTTAGGGAACCTATCTTATCCAAAAGGCAACGGAGGAAAAGAAAGCTAAAAATTTTAAAATATAGTGTCTTATTTTTCTCATTAATGCTTATTTTTATTGCATTAATCTTGGCTCCTGTACTCGCTGAAAGATATATACCCAATTTAAGAAAGCAACTTCCTTCATTCATCGCAGAGATTATTCAACCCAATCATCAAAATAATAATGATACTGGAGATAACGCTCCTCGAACTGTGCTAAGAGCCAAACCAATTGTATAGATCAATTTGCACGTGATGTCTTGGAACTTTGAATCAGTAAGTGTTTACAAAATAGATCAAGTCAGCAGAAGTGTTGATTCCAAATAAATACCTTGTCAATTAATAATTAGAAGCGCATGTGCCTATATAATAGAGTGTAGATGAATTCTATCAATCGAAATCCCAAGCCTATTTCAAGAAAGCCATCATCATTTAGGCCATCAGGATTGAACATAACTCCCACGACTAATAAATTAGGGAGATTTTCCAGCAAGAGTGATTTACTAGCACGGTTTCAAGATACTGAAAATAATAACGAAGAAGACGATATATTTGGGGGAGATGCATTTAATGATTTACCTATTGAAGATGAATTTAAAACTTTGAAGATTAACCCTAATGAATTAGAAACATTAAGGCTAAAAAATGATCATGCCACAATCAATAATAATAATATTAAGAACCGAATTCATCAGTTTCGAGAAGATGATACCGATGATATGGGTTTTGAAGATGATGACTTTTCTCGTGGTAACTTGCACTTGAACTATAGAACAACTTTAAATGAGCCAGATGATGACGAGTTGAAGCTATCACCTGGAACTATATCGACATCATCACCAAAGCCAAGAATGAGAAGCAAATCTTTATCAGAATATAGTGAAGATACAAATGACACTGATGTAACTTCACAATTCAATGATGATGATTTCGATAATATTAATGATGTAGATGATATATTTGGAAATGAAGAAAGTGGAATATACAGTAGTGGAGGAAATGGCAATACCAGCAAAGCTAATAGGCATTTATTAATGAAACAACAAAAATTACAGAATGACGCAGAAATCGAAGAAAGAGAGTTATTTAAGAAATATAAGCGTCTTACAAATGAAGAAACTAATACTTTGAAATTGAAAGATTTCACAGTCTACGGCCACAACCCCATTGATACTGATGCATTAGAGAATGAAAAAACTGTTGATTATGAGTATACTAAAGATGATTTTGAGAATTTTGAAGATGGTTTTGATACGGATGTTCCCATAAAATTAGATGTTGATAAACTTAAGCAATATTCTCGCGGCGATAAGAGTGTAAGAATGAAGAATTCTATGCCAAATTTTAATAACAAGAATAAATTGTCAAAAGCGAAAAAGTATAAATCATCAATGGATTTGGTTAATGAATTTGAAACTCAACATCCTGTGTTTAATAATAATAACAAAATTATACGAAAATTGGATCGGATACCCTCTTTTTATACTAAGAATGATGCAATGAAATCAAATAATTCAAAATTAAACCAGGATATTGAATTGGAAAAACAACAGTTGTTAAATAAATATATGGAGATAACAGAGAAGCAAAACCGCTTAAATAATAGACATCGTAAAAAGAACCTATCCATGAAAAATCCAAATGGAAAAAATAAACGAATTGGATTGGTTAGATATTTGAACGATAATCCAATACCTCAACCAAACAATAACAGTAAAATGAAGTATAACCCCATTAACAAGAAGTGGGAAGGTAATGATATAGAGTTGGTTAAATTTGAAAACTTGAACGTACCCAAACCACTGCTAATATCCTTCAATGATTTCAAAAATAATATGAAAGATAAAAAGATTCAAGGAAATATGGTTTATGACCCAGATCAATTAAAATGGATAAACTTGAATAAGGATGAGGACAATATTTTTCAAGGCTTATCAGATTTGCCAGATCTACAAATTGATAAACGATCTGTCTCAAATTCGCCTACAAAGAATATAGGCAGAGGGGTGAGTGCGTTTACACAAAGAACTGGATCTACCAACTCCATTGCATCTAGCAATACAAATGGTAATGAGTTTGAAATACCTCCAAAGCTAATAGAGAAGTTCCACAAGGAAGAAATGAAGTTGCTGAAGAAAATCAACTACTGGTTTCAACAGCAAAACTACGATTTAATTAATAGTGACTTCAATCATAATTATTTTTGGGAGATCAGAAAAATGGTAATCGATAATGAAGATTAGTTCAGTAGTAGCATACCAAAATATATATATATAAGCATATCTAAATTTAGCGAATGGATTCGACGGAATCCTAATTGTAGAGTACAAGTGAACACATCACACGAGTATATACAATGGCTTATAGATTAATTGAAATACCATATACAGTTAGACACATTGGAAGCAAATTTATAATAATTCATAATTGTATCTATCAATTAATTGATTTAGGCAAAAATTAAACCGAAACCAACAATAGAGACAGCACCTACCAATAAACTCTTTGTAGTTAATCCTAAAGAGATTTTGTTGGAACCACTAGATGATCCACTAGTTGAACTGGAGCTAGAACCGGAACCAGAACTTGAAGTTGACTTAGAACTACCTGTCAGGGTAGCAGTGATACCGGTGTGCTTGGTTGTTTGGATAGAACCAGAAATAGTTCCAACACCAGAAGTACCCGCAGACTTCAAGTAGGCGGAACAAGATGAAGCAGTCTTAGCGCTTTGAGTGGTAGCAGAACCGTCGAAATCACAATCAGTCTTAGAAGAACCATTTTCTTCGTAATACAAGTTCAAAACAAAGTTCAATTTTTGCTTGTCAGAACATGGAGAGTAAGCACCATATTCACCGGTGGTACCGTTACCGTTAATACCGTCACAGTCAATCTTGGCACAAACATAATCGAATAAATCTGCGTAATCAGAAGAATCGACACCAGAATCAACAATACAGGTAAGAGATGCAGCCATACAGTCACAAGCATCTTGGTCAGGAGTTGGTGGTAACTTGGTAGCAGCAGACCAGTTAGATGTAGAGGTTGGACATGAAGTAACTGAAGTAGAACCAATAGAAGAAGATGAAACACCGGATGGAGAAATGGAAGCTAATTCTGCTTTCAAATAAGAGAAGTCCTTCAAGGTGGAAACACTATTACCAGATACAGAAACTAAACCGTAATCATTTTCTTCTTGGAAGTACATGTAAACAATACCACCGGACCAGACATCAGTCATGTCACTACCGTAAATGGTTCCAACTTCTTGGAACTTTCTTGGAGAAACTTCGTTACAACCGTATTCGGAGAAGAAAATTGGAATACCCAAGTTCTTGTATTGTTTAGTAATTGATTCATATCCAGATGTTTTGAAACTGGAAGATCCACACCATTCGTACATGTTAATACCGAAGAAATCAGCTCTTTCTTCTTCACTACCACAAGCAAAGTAGTCAGCTAAAGAAACTCTGATGTCGGAGTCATCATTAGCCGAGTAACCGACTGGAATGGTTCTGTAATTTTGTGCTTTAATGTAAGCCTTAGTATCTCTGATAGCAGCCTTGACATAAGCGGAAGCATCAGTGTTACTCTTGGTGTTGGTAACTTCGTTACCAGCAAAGAAACCTAAAACGTTGGTGTAGTTTTGGAACAAGTCAACGACTCCAGTGTATCTGTCGAACAATTCAAGGTTCCATTCTGGACTCTTTCTGTTGATAGATACATCTGGTTCGGATAAATCAGCAATAACATAAATTCCTGCATCCTTCAACATATCCATACAATCGGTGTGATCTAAGGAAACGTTCAAAGCGTAGACTCTGATAACGTTGGTTTGTAATTCTTGCAAGTAAGGAATATCTCTCTTACAAGCCTCAGCGTCGGCCAAAGGATCAACGAAAGAAGAATCTGATGAGTTAGCAGTGTTTTGTTGGTACGCAACACCCTTCATGAAGAATTGGGAACCATTGTTGGAGTAAAAGAATTTGTTACCAACAACTTCGATTTCTGGTAAATCATCTGCAACCACAGATGATACCAATGTACTGGTGGCCAATAAGGCACTAGAAATTAATGACTTGAATAACATATTGTTCTATAATTATTTCCGTCAAATGGTCTAACCTAATATTATTAGAATTTTTATGACGGATTTTCACGAAATGTCCCAGTATTTATTCCTCGATCGAGTTCTGTCCCGTAGAAATATAAATAGCCCACTCCTACGCATATCTAAGGCAGTTCCATAAATGATTAATACCCAATTTGGGTGAAAAATTTTTTTATTATGTAAACACGAGCGCACATTTCGTGTTTTATTCTTGCGGATAATAACTGATTATGAACATGGTCGATCCTCCTATTTATCTTGGTCTTTGTATAACCAATCGATGCCCATCTTATATTGTGTCTACAATCGTACATGCTATCAAATATCTTATATTTTGACACCATATTACTTGTTTAATAGCTAGATGGACTGAGGTATTCTGATCAAAAATGTCCTGCCGAAAACACTCAGCATAGCCATAAGCCCAAATTAGGGAACAACTGGGAACAAACGGGCTTGGGCATGGCGACGGATTGTGGACTTCCTGATGTAACAGGTGTCGAGCCGGACAACCCATCCTGTCGGGACAGGTGGGGCTTCTCGGATTTTTGTGTCGGATCGCAGTTGATATGCATGCCGCGAGAAATAATGTAAGGATGTAATCTCTTAGAAGAGATGCTTCTGTGGTATCTGGTATGCACACGGCGAGTAATTAGTATTGTTGGAGAAGTTCTAACGCAGCGGTCGTGGTGCAATGACGCTCGCCTACAACAAAAGAGAAGCGTAATCAGGATACCGAGCGTAATTGGACAGCATGATAATAGCGCAATAAGAGATTGACATATCCCTTTTGAGGATGGTAAGTTAGAACATCGGCAACAAACAATTGGTGCAAGGATGTTGTAAGTTTAGTATATTGAGTAGGCGTAGTGAAGTGTTTAGCATGTGTAGATGGGCAGGCTGGGAGTTTGGTGTAGTTAGGTCGTGGGTTTTGCTTTTGAGTTGGGCTGGTGAATTGAAAGCGTGGAATTAAACATGGCTGAAAGTTTCGTTATTGTACGATTGATTATGTCGGATACGGGTCGGAGAATTTCCCGACTGGTACCAACTGGCATTCCATGAGCCTTGTACAATGTGCGTAAGCGTGTAGCTACGGTATATTGCGCGGCAGGGTTAATGTCAGAATTGTTTATAGAAATAAGGTAGAGGTGAGGACGTTTTAGGGTGCATGAATACTATAATTGGAAGGTTGATAATACTAGAAGTGGCTGACGAAATGGTGGCTATCGGTTTGGTAGTTATCTATGTAAAATTCGCGTCGAAGGGACTGATTTTGCAGCATTATAAAGTTTGGTATGCATTTCCTTGATCGACGTCATCTTGGCCAAAAGATGACAAGATGCCAAGAGCAGCTAGAGATCGCCTGTCTCGCCTGTTCGTGATGACATGAGCTATAAAGAACCATGGCTTGATTACTGAATAGAAGTCAACAGCTCAGTATTTAGGCCGTCGATATATGTTGACCACGCGCATTCCTTCCTATCCATCGCTCGCTAATAGTTATGCATATATTGAACATGTATAATTTTATAGCGAACTTAACTACTGATTTCATTGATTGGTTTCATTTATCGTATTGGGAAATAATTAGACTTTTTATGAATTAACGAATGTTTACCAATTTTTTAAAACCTACTCAGTATTAATTCAAATGGTACCAAATTTCCTTTATTTTCTGAAATTCTCTGTTAAATCGTTAAAATCTTTAAATGTACATTTGAGAAAAAGTAACTTCGTTGGGAAGACATCTCAGTATTTTTCCATTCACGGGCAAATTCTAAGCTATTTATATAATCCTAATATTCTACTATAGAAGGAGAGTAACTTCCAGGATGATTCAGTTGAAAATAATAAATAAAAAGGAAAATTAAAAAATTGTATGATTTAAATAGGGAATATAAGTAATAATCAGAAAGATGTGTATAATTATATTTATTATGATGATGGGAATGGTGTCTGGTATAGGATACATAGAACGTATTCATGGATGTTACTCGTAAAAATGGTACATGGATGGACCTCCGCGGGATAGATAGTAAGTTACTAGGGTGCATAGAACCTTATATATTACAAAGCAACATTGGGGTTGTACCATTAGATGCTGCGTCCGAAGATTACTTAGATGAAGCGTCAGAAAGATTGCATGGTATGCCAGGGAGCGGTTTATCTCTTCTAACGACCGATACTTGAATCTGATAAATATTATCCGACCATATGTCATGCCATTTTCCTTAAGAAATGACTACATTTCAACCGATATATATGTTTTCATGCTCTGTCCAGTATTTATTTGATTTTGCAGCCAGTTTGGATTTTCAAATTTTCTCACGAAAATAATTATTCATTGAATACCTGCAAACATTTGAACAAAAAGTACCCGTGTGTATTTCTCTGTTCATGTTTGTTACAAAGTTTGTTTTGCTACTAAACTTTAGGTTGCTATATTGCCATCTATTAATATTGTTAAAATTGATGAATTACAGGATTAGGATTAAGAAAATGGTTAAAATAATTTGTTAGACACCACTGACTGTTCATGCCAATAATACTAATAGTTTCCATGAAAGCACTTACTGCGATGCCGAAATAATTTCTAGAGGAGATGATTATTTGACAATTGTGGGACGTTAGGAGAAAGATTGAAGAGAAGTATTACTTAAACGAGTAATACTTTATACAAGCTAAGTCCTAAGTTGAAACGACATGCAAAAGAGTTTCTATATATACGGTTTATAAAAATCACCGTACATATGTGATTGCACAATATTTGTAAAAGTGGTGGAGGGGTTTTTGTTTTATTTTAACACAACAGAGAAGCTTACTGGAATAAGAATGTGTATTCACATAAACTATTCAAAAGGAAATGAACCAATAAACATGTTGCTTAAATAAAATAATTAACTGAAATAAAAAGAATTCATGTTGTTCCAGTAGTCGTTGTATGAAGTAGTTCAATGATACTATAAATAATGTGTGAAAATATTAAGAAAGTAATAGAGAGATCACTTTCAACAAATTGGCTATCATTTCGCACTTTTCTACGTTGTACTATATTCGCTGCAACTATCCTGATTACTACTTAGGATATACTATTTCCACATCAAACGTGATAGCCTCAATGCTTCTTACCCCATCAAATACTTCCTCCCCACCATTCCATGTCCTCACTAAATTTATCAAATTTATTGTTCGGTACTTGAGATGCAAAATGCTTCTTCGTACTTCTTCAATCTTCTATTTCAGCCACTCCATATAACACATTAACTCATTATAAACTCACCATTACATTACAATACTAGACAAGATACATGCTGCTACTCTTAAGATATCTAACTCTTTCTCCCTGATCCTATGTATTTGGAACATTCCCAACAATGTCGCCTTACTTTAGGCGAAGCGGACCCCACGGAGAATATCGTCTCAAATTTATTTTCATTAACTTGTTTCTTTCACAACCCTATGGACCCACCACACTGACCGCCATGCCAGCATGATCTCCTACTACACGACGACTTTGATATTCTTGAAAAATGATAATTATTGAAAAATTTCTTAGGCCGCATTATGTAACATACGATGGGGTCAATCACCTCCGCTTCTGTCGACGCATTTAAAGAAAAAATAGTCCGTTAGCCCCATAAAAGGATTTTCTTTTCTTACAATATATTCATTCTAGAGGCTAAACAATGTCAGAAGAAAAGATATTAAACGACGTGTCAGAGTCAGAAGACACTGGCTACTTAGAATCGTATATCCGATTTAATGATGATTTGGAAAAGGACTACTGTTTCCAAGTTAAGGTCGACAAGAGATATAAAGATTTGCTTGCAATTTTCAGCTCGTTACCAATTGCTTTAAGACCAAATGTCTTCTATCATTCCAAACCAATTGGATTTAACGTTTCAACTTCTCCTGGATATTTAACTGAAGATGGTTCGTTGTTGTTCAGTTACGAAACGGGGATGGCAAAATTCTTGAAAAGGGTGTCATTGGACGATAAAATCGCCGACACCATCTGGCCAGGTCAATTAATTCTTCCAGTTTGGGAGTTTAACCCATTTGCGTTCTACTCGTTCATTGCGTTTTTGATATGTTGGTTATACACTGATTTGCCGGACTTCATTTCACCAACTCCAGGTATTTGCTTGACTAACTTCATGACTCGTAGAGCTGGGGAATTAGCCACATACATCGGTCAACACAGATTAGCCAATGCTTTGATTGTTGATCTTGAGGAACCAGTTGGAGTCATTGGCCAGTGTTTATTTTTTGTCTTCCACGTCATCAAGGTGTTGGTCATATTCTTGGTTTTCCACTTAGGTACGTTCAATCCAATCCGTATGAACAGATTCTCAGGTGCCAAGGTTCCATCTGATATCTCCAAGGAACAATTGATCGAATTAGGCTGGACCGGTTCCAGAAGAGCCACTCCAGACGAGTACAAGGAATACTACAGAGATTACAAGATCAAAGAACACGGTGGCATGATCCAAGCCCACCAAGCAGGCTTATTCGACACCTTGAAGAACTTAGGAGTCTACTTGGGCGAAGGTGAAGGTTTCAACACCCCAATGGACTCCAAGACCACTATTGCCGACTTGTGCAACGAGGAAAACGACAAGTTTACCTTATCGTACGACTATTTGGCTCAATTGGGCGGCTTTTTCGCCAACTACATCGAAAAGGAAGGCATCGACTTGCCAGAAACCATCAAACAATTCAGAAGGTTCGGTCTCTTGCACTCCTCTGACTCCGTCAAAAAGGCCGTCAAGCAAAGAAAAATTTTCGGTGATTCCAAAATCAATAAATAGTTCCATTACTTCTTTCTATCTCTGCCACGAGTCCCTCTGTCCATAGATTGCTTTAATTAATAATTTTTTGCCTACCTTTACTCAATTGACTACAATTGTCCTTTGTGTCGTCCATGGGGCCGTAGCCCATATGGCCCACTGCCTACCGACTCGCTATCTCGCTCGTACTCGTTCATTTTGTCCTCGTTTAACTTCGTTTGTGTTCGCCTTGGCTGGCAAATGTCGTATCGCTTATATGTCGTCATGACTCACTCGTTGCCCATATCTTTCACATGGTAATCGATCGTGGTTGGTGTAAACGTTTATCTAACAATGTGATATCACGTGAACTGGGCCAATTTTTGAAAAATTTAATTTTTCAACAAACGGACACCTGTAAGTAGTCATATATAAAGGGACATAAATCCGCTTACACAGCAATTGTAGTTAGTTTTTTTAATAATTATATATTGTTAAGTTTATTTAAAACAAAACATAATTATAACATATTTAACAATGGTTCAATCATCTATTTTAGGGTTCCCACGTATCGGTGGACAAAGAGAATTGAAGAAGGTCACCGAATCTTACTGGCAAGGTAAGGTTGGTGTCAATGATTTATTAGCTAAGGGTAAAGAATTGAGAAGCCACAACTGGAAGTTGCAAAAGGAAGCCGGTGTTGATGTTATTCCATCTAACGATTTCTCGTACTACGATCAAGTTTTGGATTTATCTTTGTTATTCAATGTTATCCCAGACAGATACACCAAGTTCGAATTGGCCCCAATTGATGTTTTATTCGCTATGGGTAGAGGTTTACAAAGAAAGGCCACTGACTCCACTCCAGCTGTTGATGTTACTGCTTTGGAAATGGTTAAATGGTTCGATTCTAACTACCATTATGTCAGACCAACCTTCTCGCACTCCACCGAATTCAAGTTAAACACTGAAGCCGGTTTAAAACCAGTCGATGAATACTTAGAAGCCAAGGCTTTAGGTGTTGAAACCAGACCAGTCATTGTTGGTCCAATCTCTTACCTTTACTTAGGTAAGGCTGACAAGGACTCCTTAGACTTGGACCCAATTTCTTTATTGGACAAGTTCTTACCAGTTTACAAGCAATTGTTAGCTAAGTTAAAGGAAGCCGGTGCTAAGGAAGTTCAAATTGATGAACCAATCTTAGTCTTAGACTTACCAAAGGAAATCCAAGCTAAATACGCTGAAGTTTACAAGACCTTAGCTGGTTCTGATGTTCCAGAAATCGTCTTAGCTACCTACTTCGGTGATGTCAGACCAAACTTGTCTGCTATCAAGGGTTTACCAGTTTCTGGTTTCCACTTTGATTTCGCCAGAGTTCCAGAACAACTTGACGATGTTGTTGCCGCTTTAGGTGACAAGCAAACCTTATCCGTTGGTATTGTTGATGGTAGAAACATCTGGAAGACTGATTACTCCAAGGCTTCCGCTTTTGTTGCTAAGGCTATTGAAAAGGTTGGTAAGGACAGAGTTGTTGTCTCCACCTCTTCTTCCTTATTACACACTCCAGTCGACTTACAAAACGAAAAGAAGTTAGATGCTACCATCAAGGACTGGTTCTCTTTCGCCACCCAAAAGTTGGACGAAGTTGTTGTCCTTGCTAAGTACGCTTCCGGTGAAGACGTTTCTAAGGAATTAGCTGCTAACGCTCAATCTATCAAGTCCAGAAAGGAATCTTCTATCACTACCAATCCAAAGGTCCAAGAAAGATTAGCTACTGTCAACGAATCCTTATCTACCAGAAAGGTTCCATTCGCTGAAAGATTACCATCTCAACAAGCTAAGTACAACTTACCATTGTTCCCAACCACCACTATTGGTTCTTTCCCTCAAACCAAGGACATCAGAATCAACAGAAACAAGTACACCAAGGGTGAATTAACTGCTGAACAATACGAAGAATTCATCAACAAGGAAATTGAAACTGTTGTCAGATTCCAAGAAGAAATCGGTTTAGATGTCTTAGTCCACGGTGAACCAGAAAGAAACGATATGGTTCAATATTTCGGTGAACAATTAGAAGGTTACGCTTTCACCACCAACGGTTGGGTTCAATCTTACGGTTCCAGATATGTCAGACCACCTATTGTTGTTGGTGATGTTTCTAGACCAAAGGCTATGACTGTCAAGGAATCCGTTTACGCTCAATCTATCACCAAGAAGCCAATGAAGGGTATGTTAACTGGTCCAGTTACCTGTCTCAGATGGTCTTTCCCAAGAGATGACGTTTCTCAAAAGGTTCAAGCTTTACAATTAGGTTTAGCTTTAAGAGATGAAGTCCAAGACTTAGAAAAGGCCGGTATTACCGTCATCCAAGTCGATGAACCAGCTATCAGAGAAGGTTTACCATTGAGATCTGGTAAGGAAAGATCCGACTACTTAAACTGGGCTGCTCAATCTTTCAGAGTTGCTACTTCTGGTGTTGAAAACGATACTCAAATCCACTCTCACTTCTGTTACTCTGATTTAGATCCAAACCACATCAAGGCTTTAGATGCTGATGTTGTTTCTATTGAGTTCTCCAAGAAGGATGATGCTAACTACATTCAAGAATTCTCCAACTATCCAAACCACATTGGTTTAGGTTTATTCGATATTCACTCCCCAAGAATTCCATCCAAGGAAGAATTCATCTCCAGAATCGAAGAAATCTTGAAGGTTTACCCAGCCAACAAGTTCTGGGTTAACCCAGATTGTGGTTTAAAGACCAGAGGTTGGGAAGAAACCAAGGCTTCTTTAACCAATATGGTTGATGCCGCTAAACACTTCCGTGGTAAATATTAGGTATTCTAATATCTTAATAAAACCCCAATTATGGATGGTTTTGCATTATTCAATTCTTCATTGTTGATGCTGTATCCTATGATTACATTTATTCAACATTAATGTAATTAATTATCATTAATATTATGATCATGTTGTTATTATTGTTTGTTCTGTGATGATTATGATTTTTATTATTACTTGTTTATATTTTTTGTCACTTATCTTTTTATATCTTGTTACTTTTTTTGCTTTTAATTGGATATAACGGCCATTGCTTGTTATATCATGGGGTTTAAAAATTGGGATTTCAACATCGGTTTATATATACGTAAATAAAAATTATATTTTAATTTTACTATACAAAGCTCTGTAGGGAATTTTTCAGAATCGTGAGATTTTGATATCAAGATGCGGACATAATTACGAGTATTTAATCGCCATCAAAAGAACAAAACAATATACACATTAATTTAAGATATTTTTAATATAAAAACCATGTCAAGTCAAGAGCAAGATCAATTGATTGACCAATTTGTTACGGTGACCAGTTCTTCTAAGAGTTTGGCCGAGCAATACCTCGCAAGAAATGAAAATGATTTGATTAATGCAATTGAAGATTACTATGCCACATCATCAAATACAGAGAATCCGGGAGCAACCAGCTCGAAACCAAAAAAAGCAAAAGCGTATGTCTAACGATTTATATCTACTTATAGAATTCAACCAGTTACTAACTTTTTTGTAGGTCAGGAGGGGTCAGAACATTTAGAGATTTGAATAGCAACGAAGATGACGATGAAGAGGATAAGACAGATACCAATTTTTTTACGGGAGGTGAAAAGTCTGCCTTGCAGGTGGAAGACCCAAACAAAAAGGGCGATAAAAAGAGTGAAAGATCGATAATTGATCAGATTTTTCAACGAGCAAAGGAACAAATGGACCAACCAGACGATCGTCCATCGGCACATGATGATCAACAAGAAGAAGTACGTAAGTTCACCGGAACAGGTTTCAAGTTGGGCGGAGAGAACCAGCCATCTGAGCAGGTTGTGGATACGAGTAGTCGTTTGCCTAAAAAGCCCACCAAGGTCACCAGGGAGATTACATTCTGGAAGCAGGGATTCACAGTCGGTGAAGGTGCCTTACATAGATATGATGATCCAAGCAATGCTAGTGTGTTACAGGAATTGAACGCTGGTAGGGTTCCAATGTCGTTGTTGGATGTTGAATTTGGTCAAGATGTTGATGTGAGTGTATTCAAGAAGACCGATGAAGATTGGGTTCCACCTAAGAGGAAAGTAGGGGGATTCGCAGGCCAAGGTCAAAGATTAGGCTCTCCTGTGCCAGGAGAATCCTGTGGTGGATCACCAGCACCAGAAGCTGCATCAGAGCCTACAAGAGAAACAAAACCAGACGATCAAGGAGAAGGTGACTCTTTGGTTCAAATTAGATTTGCAAATGGTAAAAAGGCTTCACACAAGTTCAATTCATCAGATTCTATTACCAAAGTCTATGAATTTGTAAGATCCCACCCTTTCACTGAATCTGGTAAGGTCTTCATTTTGACTCATGCTTTTCCAGTGAAGCCTATAGAAGAATCCAATGATATAACTGTTGGAGATGCTAAATTAAAGAATGCGGTGATCGTCCAAAGGTGGATATGATTATACTACTAGATGGCTGTTGATGTACATGATTGTATAGTCCATATCAATATTATCAATATGATTTTTATTTATATACATACATATCCTTCTATCTTTTAGACTGTATGAGCGCTTTCCTGAAAAAAAAAAAATATGGCCATGATATTATATAAATCTTTTTTGAAGATAAATAGTTTTGAATCATTACAAAAGATACAGCTTCGTTCTGTACCAGCATAGGAAGGTAGAACATTTCTGCATTAGTTTTTCAGTCCTTGGGCATATTTTATTTAATGAATATATGTGTGCAACATAAATCTTATGATGATCAAAATCATACGACCCAATGTAAAGATAAGGGTGTTAAACTTCCTGAGTTGTATTCGCATACTATCACAGAATCATAAAAGATACATAAAAACTACCACGCCTTGTACATATAAAAGCAGATTGGGGCTTTCAAATATATTTAGTGCAAATAACATTGTTGACCCAGATAGCGATTCAGCTAATGATATAATTAATGAGTATAATGATTATTCTAGCATTGACGATCTTCAAATAAGATTAAAAGATTTCATAAAAAGCAAGCCTGCATTTGTAAATGCCTACAATGACTATAAGAAGAGGGACCTATCGTTGACTAGTCCGTTGGATGAGATTAATAAATTTATTTTAGGTAGCCCTAAACCAAATTTCCGGGCTATAGTCAATACTAATGAGAATATGCCTCCGAATATAGGGAGTTTTATAGAGATTATTAATCACAGTACTTCGAGTGTCACATTTGGTGTGGTTCTTGAAGGATCACAAACGAAATTCAACGAAAACTATAATAAGTTATTGGTCTTGACAGTGGATAATAAAATAGAAAAGATATGCCCACAAGATGTTAGTTTTCATTTTTTTCAAGTTCTCGATTCACAGTTGATTCAAAATTTACAAGTTACTGAAAATAGGCATGATGATACTTTTAGAAATCGCTTAGTCCTAGTGGATATTTTGAAGCTATTTATTCGACAAAGTCTTGATCGTTTACATAGGCTACAGGATCCTAATAATAACCAGTTTTCAATTGCATTTTCACAGTACGCAACACCCTTTCAAATGAAGAGTATCTCATTACCTGAGATTTATGATTCATTCAAATTGCTGGATCCTATTTTGTCAGATATCAACAGTTCATATTATAATCAAGCTGCATTTTTACTAAGCTGCCATTTAGGAATGATAAACTCTCCAGAAATGTGGTTGGTAACTTCGTGTTACGGAGTCAATAAGCTAACTAATCTTGTTAAAGAAAGCTGTTCAAATCAGATTAGTTCAGGTTCTCGCTATTTTGTGAATTCCATTACAAATATGGAATCTCTTTCAAAGATCTTTGACGATTTTGAAAATCCAATTTATTTGGCTAAGTATAACTCATTTTTGTCTGCTCTCTATGGAGAACAAACATCGCAGAACCCTAAATCATTTGATGATTTGAATGTTTACTTCAATATTTGGGAAGGTAAACACTTTGTGAATATTATCACTGTTATGAAGTTTTTCATTATTTATCCACATTCATCAATTAAAGAGAGCATAGAGAGATTGCCACTCATGGGAGATAAGATCTCAGACCCAAGTACGATTTATAAGTTCCTTGAAGATTTAAAAATTTATAATAATTGGCGTAATCAAATGACGGATATATACCTTTCTGCAAATATAATGGGCAAGTCCCAATTATCACAACTATCTATATCATCAGCTAATGATTTATGCTCAACTTCAACTCAGAATGAGCTGCACAATTTTTTAAATCAGAAAATTACTGACAAATTCACTCACTTAAGAAAATCCAAAGTTTATTATCAAGATCATATTGTTTACGGATTGCCTTTTGGCAAATCGGTTAATTCAAAACAGAAACTGTCTATGCTAGGCGTATCGTTGGAGAAAATAAATTCTAGAAAATATTTGATAAATATTCATATACCTGACTTGATCACCAAACTTTCACCTAGCAGTAATTTATTCGATGAAATTTCATCTTCTAGTTTAAATATGAAGAGTTTAGCGAAGTTGATTAATGATTCGAAAATAAACATTTTTGATCAGGGCTTAATCGATAGTTTAAGTTTTCCGGATCAAAATTTACAGGCGAATTCTGATTGGTTTTCAGTTGGTGATGCAAGCAATAAGTATAGTTCGATCGCAACTTCAAATGATAATGTAACGTGCATGACTGTTTCATTTGTTTACAATAAGTATGAATCGAATCCATTTCTGGATTTAGAAGAAAAGATTTCTTTTTCTTTTGATTCATTGAGTAAAGTACTGATAAAAAATATTGATTGGAATAAACTTGAAAATTGCTTAAATGGCGTTACTGAAGTTTCCCCTTTCACATTGTTTAAAGAAAGAGCGAAACGTTCACAAGATAAAAGCAATGTTGAATTAGATGACGATGACATTCACAATATGAATTTTATTTTTAATGTAATGAAAAGTCATATTAAAATACGAAATCTAGATGGTGCCTCAAATGTTGATCCATCTGTTACATTCCAAAAAAATGACTCAAGCAATCTTTTGAAAGAATTGAGTATAGTGAACAAATATGAGGACCACGAAAAGGTAATCACCAAGATCGAATCTAAGTCAATTGAAAGTCAGCTAGAATTGTCTAAATCAAGATTTTTTATTAATGAAATAGACAAATTTGTTGGAAAAATAACATCAAGATATTGCTTAATGAATGAGATTCCTATCTTTAACCACCATCAAGATATTCTTGAATCTTTAAACGAAGAGCTGAATCCAGAACTAAGTATGAATAAGGAAGCGACGGATTTGAAGGATGAGGCATATATTTCTCATAATAATTTATTCTTGCCGAATTATCATTCGAATTCATACTTTCAAACGTTGATAGCGAGAGACTCGTCTGGATATGTTTCAATGAGTGCATATTTAATTGGTTTGAATTATTTGACCAAGCGTAACATAGAAGTTTTCACAGACGAGAACTTGCGCTTTTTACCATTGGGATTACACGATGGATATGTTAAAATGTTTGGAGTGTTTAGCAATTACGAAGTTTTGTTGAATCAATTTCAAATCTTGTCTCATATTCAACAATATTTTCAAGGTAACAATTTATCATTCTTCAAGGATAAGGAGTATTCTGCCAATATTAGACAGTTCAGTTATTTGAAAAGATACGGTTATACACTAAATGGACCTTTATCATACGAAGCATTAAACAATCAATTAGATAAAATATCAGACTCCTATCAATTATGCGACCACTTGGGAACAGTGCATAAGCAATTTTGGACTTTGAAATTGCTTGAGCAAAGGCTACTTGAAGACAATTCTATGGACTCAGGAATAGCCGGTATTACCTATGACTGCATAATCACTCGTGCAGGTTATGAAATACCGTCAATTTCCAAAAAGATCGCTAGAGGTTACTGTTCTCAGTTGAATATTGAGACTGACATTATGCTTCCTCTTGATAGGGAAGCAACAATCGGAAATCAAATTATTTGTGACAAAGTAATGTTCTTAGATCCTATTAGAGGTCACTGTGTCCTAAGAGAATCAGGGCTACTCCACTAGCTGCATATACATGTAAATATATATTTAATAGACATCAACTAACATTATTCTGGTACTGTAGATCTTACCTGCATATAACATGACGATATTTTTTTTTTCATTTTGACTCATGAATACTTGTTCTACCTAGCACATCTATACGAGAGGTTAATTTGGAGTATTGAAGAAGAATACGATATGTTTGTATGTATAAGTCTAGGAATTCGAATAGGATCAAGAATATTTAAATTTTGGAAAAAAGCTAACCCGTAATAGTCTAAAATTCAACCATCGCTTGAAGCCTTGACTTCAATTGTTGAATCACATCAAGGTGACGAAAATAAGCCTAATTTGTATCCAATTTACAAGTATGTTACAGCAGATGACTTAACTGTTCATAAAGCGTATTTGAAGTTAGCAAAGTTGAACGACCCGAAAAGGTCCCCATCATTTTTATTTGAGTCGGCTGTTAACGGTGATACAGTTGATAGATATTCATTTATTGGTCTTAATCCAAGGAAAGTGATAAGAACTGGTGAAGATGAAAAATTATTTCCTAAAGAGCATTGCAATGTTGATCCAATCACTGTGTTAGAAAAAGAACTTGCCAAGTATAATCAAATCCAATTACCAGGATTGCCAAAATTTAGTGGTGGGGCTGTCGGTTACATTTCATATGATTGTATCAAATATTTCGAACCAAAAACCCGCAAGCCGTTGAAAGATGTATTACAGTTACCAGAAGCCGTATTGATGTTATGTGATTTAATCGTTGCGTTTGACCGTGTTTATGACAGATTCCAGATCATCAATAACGTAGCAGTAACTGATTCGAACGATTTAGAAGCAAGCTTTCTGAAAGCTGCTGAAGAGATTAATAATGTAGAAAATATTTTAAGATCTGAATTTAAACCAGAAGAAATAAACCCTAAGCAACCTCCAATCAAGGCTGATCAAACCTTTACGTCAAACATAGGTCAAGAAGGTTACGAAAGCCACGTTTCAACTTTAAAGAAACATATCTTAAAGGGTGATATTATCCAAGCTGTCCCTTCTCAAAGAGTTGCCAGACCTACTTCATTACATCCATTCAACATATACCGTCATTTAAGAACTGTTAACCCATCACCATATTTGTTCTACATAGATCTTATTGATTTTGAAATTATTGGTGCATCTCCAGAACTCTTAGTGAAGGCAGATGAAAAGGGTAAGGTTGTGACCCATCCAATTGCCGGCACTGTGAAGAGAGGTAAAACTAACGAAGAAGATGAGGCCAATGCCGAAATATTGAGATCGAGTTTGAAGGATAGAGCCGAACATATAATGTTGGTGGACTTAGCCCGTAACGACATAAACAGGATCTGTACTCCAGAAAGTAATAAAGTCGATCGTCTTTTAACGATCGAGAGATTCTCCCACGTCATGCATTTGGTTTCTGAAGTGAGCGGTACCTTGAGATCCGACAAGACAAGATTTGATGCCTTCAGATCTATTTTCCCTGCGGGGACAGTGAGTGGTGCTCCAAAGGTTAAGGCCATGGAGTTAATTGGTACACTTGAGAAAGAAAAAAGAGGTGTTTATGCGGGTGCTGTTGGTCACTGGGGTTATGATGGTAAGACCATGGACACCTGTATTGCCTTGAGAACCATGGTTTACAAGAATGGTACTGCCTACTTGCAAGCTGGTGGGGGGATTGTTTTCGACAGTGACGAATATGATGAATACGTGGAAACCATGAACAAGATGAAGGCTAACAACCAAACTATTATTGATGCCGAAAAAGTTTGGATTGAAAAAGTTGGACAAGAATAGGTATATATCTAATTTACGTTTTTCTAAAAGTAGCTACTGAATAATAATAATCCGTATATACGCCCATTTCATAGTATATATATATATAGTTCATAGAATAGTAGCTGTGGTGTAAAATTGTCATTTTGGGTAGTTCATTAATACTCACATGATTTTATTTATGTCGATTCAAGTGAACGTCGAGAAACGATGATCATCACCAAGAAATTCCAAGTAACAATATCAAGAGGTTATTCTATAAATAGACGGATTAGATATGAATCAGACTAATATGAAGCTGTCAGAAGATGATTCTTCTCCATCAATGTCAAATACTACGTCTAACACTAAAAACTTCTCTAGAACACCCACATCGTGGGACGCACTGGACGACATACTCTTGATGCATTTGAAGGATCAACAAAAGTTAGGATGGAAGGAGATTGCTAGCAACTTCACTAACAGAACTCCTAATGCATGTCAATTCAGATGGAGACGGTTGAAGTCAGGGAACTTGAAGAACCCACCAAAATCATCGCCTGGATTGGGGAGTCCGGCAAGTAGCAATAAGATACCGGCCGCTAGCGGTTTAAAAAAGAGTAAGAAAGGACCAGGGAATGCAAAGTCTGTGTCACCAAGCCATGATTCACCCAGTGCATTTTCATCTTACTCTCCTATAACTACTGCTACATTTACGGGGTATGATAATAATATTAATAATGCTTTAGCTGGATTAAATGCATTATCAAATACTCCTTCTAATATTTCGAGTCCTATGCCTAACTACCATATAGGGACAAATACCAATTCATCTACTCCTGGGCTTAATTCTCCGGATGGGGATAGTCAAGCCCATAGTTTGACTCATAATCACTTCGACAATTCCCCAAGGTCTGAAGTTTCATTGGACCCTCAGTCACACCATGGTACTACCACAAATTCTGGTGGTGGATACTACGCAGATATATCTATTGATCCAACCATGAACTTGCCTCATAATCAACCTCACCCGCATACTCCAGGTCATTTGACGCCAAGGAACTCTACGTCTCAAGGTTCGCAGACTCATTCAAACCGATTAACTCATCATGCTCATCCAATACCTCACAATGTACACAATAATTCTATCATTCAAATTGTCAAAGACGATAGAAATTCTGTGTCGTCGTCCACTAGGGCGGCGTCAGTATCTTCTTTGCCTTCTAAATCGATGAATATACCACATCATCAGCTGAATAATAGTGCATTGGCCCATTTACCTATATTGTTTGGTGGTGGAAGCAGTATTAGTGGTCCCTCTAGAAATGCTAGTGTTAGTGGAATACCTAGTACTTATCAATCAACTACGGTATCTAGTATCAGAAATGGAAGTGTTGGATCACTGGGCTATTATTCCAGATCAGGATCCGTTGTTATTCCGTTTACGGGAGACAAAAAAGACGACGAAAATTTGAAGCCTGACTTGAAGAAAAGTGATTCACCAGCAAATACAAAGAAGGCAAATAAGACTACTAATAATTCACAAAAGAACACTTCAAAGTCAAGTACACCAAATGCGCAGCCAACTATTTTCAAAATACCTTGGTCAATGGAAGAAGATGAGTTATTAATTAATCGCCGGAACCGAGAATTATCCTTTGCTGAATTATCCATATTATTGCCCCAAAGAACAGAAGGTGAAATATGGTCTAGAATTGATTATTTGGAAAAATTAAGAAATGGGCATAGATCATCTACATCCAGAGAACATAGAAGAGGTAGACAATCCTCGATTGGGTTAGACGATGATGACGATTTTTACGATGAGGTTGACGATGTAATGGATGGAATTGATGTGAGCGATGAAGACGATGAAGACGACGATGTGTTAGTCGATGACGAAGAATCGATACATCACGGCATTCGAAAGAGAAAGAAGAGAAGAACAAGCTCTGCAGTGAATCCTTTATCGGTAGGTGAGACACTTAGAAGAAAACTTAAATAATCTTGTATTTAATTCATAAAGGTTTTCCCATAAAGATTCGCCTGTTGTTACTGTACATGGGAATATAATTAAATATATATAGGCCTAAAAATTAAGAATAAAATTCCTTATTTATACTAGTAAAGCTTTAAATCTTTCGTAATTTGATCTATCACTAACTTAGGAGCGGGACCTAATCCCAAAACTGTAGCACTTCCAGCAGCAATTTGTGTTCTTCCAGCATCATGAACTATATATGCATTTACATCTAACGAAATGGCTTGAGCAAATAACGTATCCATTTCTTCTTGATTAGGCACCTGTAACGTAATTTTTGCCTGACCATTACCATATTCCCATCTATTAACCATTTCAGGGTTATATGCGTCTGATTCAGGGTTGGTTATTTTCTTATATAATGCTAACGTGGCATGCAGACATTGAGCTGCTGCTTTACCTTTACCCATTTTTAAGTCTTGACGAACAATTAAGGTCATACGAACTTCACCGGGGATATCATTTAATGGCGTAGAATCGATATCAATACTCTCATCTTCAGAAACGTCTTCGTATTCAGAACTGTCCTCTGTAGTTACGTCCTCAATTGGAGCCTTCGAAATATTTTTCAGTTTCTTCAACTTTGATTTGGAGCATACATTAGTTCCAAAGTATTGACTTATACAGAACCCTGTAACGAGAGATATAACCCCAACAGAAAGCAAATGCGATAAATTCAGCTGTGACATTATTTATCTTTATGTCAATATACTAAATGTAATTTTTATTTTTTTTGTTTTTGTTACCAATCTGGTGACGCTATAATAGAACTACAAAATTCGTTAATTGTGAAATATCTATTTATTACAATAGGCATAAGAAGACTTATGCAAGAACTTTCTTCTTTGAACTATCGGTTTTCTTCTTATTTTTGGGTTTGGGCTTTTGAACCTTGTTTGTATATGATCTCCAGTTATTTACTCTAATGTCCCTTTCATCTTCCCACTTTGTAGCAAGTTTCTTCTTCAATTCTCTTTCTTGTTGTACCCTTTTAAGTTCAGCCATTTTCTTGGCCTCTTGCTGTTGTTGGAAGTTTTTTTCTATTTCCTCCTGTTTGATTTCTTCGTTTAAGATTTCAGTAACTAATGCTAAAATCCGTTGATAATCTTCTTCGCTATAATTATCGCCTTCCATTATCTTTTTTGAACGCAATAAGCGATTCTCTGCATCGTTATATATTGCTACTAGACGTTTCTTTTCATTTATATATAATTTAGATGTCTCATCTACAGATTCAATTTCTGATTCATTTTCTGGAACATCGAATGATAACACCAATTCCGCTTTCTTTAGCCTATCAAAGGCATGTGGTGCTTTTGGATTGGAAACTTTATCAGGATGTATCAATAATGTTTTCTTTCTATAAGTTTTCTTAATTTGATTTTGCAATTGATCATCTTTTTTTAGAGGATTGATCCCAAGAACAGAATAATAGTCCCATGGACAACAATTCAAGACCCTTTCTATTTCTCTATCCTTCGACAAAGCCAGCTCCTCGGCGGATAGAACCCTATCAAGTTCGTCGGACATAATTTACCTATTTTTCTTGTATATTGGTATTTTTTGATATATATGTATTTATTTCGACTCTCGATCTTCAGTACTAAAATTACTTTTCACCGAGTGTATTGCAGCTTTTCATATTTACCACTCATATATGCTTAGAAAACTTGTGTATAGGGGATTTTCACATATTAGAACAGCAAGAATGACATTTGCAACAAGTAATGAATGGAAACCACGCTATTTTGATATTGGTGTTAATTTTTCAGACTCGATGTTCCAAGGTTGTTACAATGGCTCAACTACACCAAAGCACCCATCAGATATAGAGCAGGTCATCGCCAGAGCACACTTGTTTAATGTAGATAAGATGCTAATTACAGCTTCATCTATCAAGGAAAGTGAAGAACATTTCGATTTGTGTAAAGAACATCCAGGCATGTTTTACTCAACAGTAGGTGTTCATCCATGTACAGTGGCACAAGAATTCTATCAAAAAGATGAAGAACTGAACGAATATACAGAATCATTAGTTCCTGATGTTGAAAATAGATTAAGCAAGCTACGTGATCTTGTAAAGCTAGGATATGAAAAAGGTTACGTGAAGGCATTTGGCGAAATTGGCTTGGACTATGACCGATTTCATTATGCATCCAAGGAACAGCAAATAACGATGTTCACGAAACAATTGGAAGTAATCTCCACATTAAAGGATTTGAAACTTCCATTATTCTTGCATATGAGAAGTGCTTGTGACGATTTTATATCAATTATTAAACCTTTTATTGACAGAGGTGATATTTTAAAGGGTAATGGGGTAGTTCACTCATTTACGGGCACGAAAGAAGAACTTGAAAAATTACTCGAATTAGGCTTTTACATAGGCATTAATGGTTGTTCCTTGAAAACAGATGATAATTTAGAAGTGACTAAGATGGTCCCAAAATCTAAACTAATGATTGAAACCGACTCCCCTTGGTGTGAAATTAGAAAAAGTCATGCAAGCTATAAATATATTACTACTTACCCAAACAAATTTTATCCTGAAATAAAATTGAAAGATCGTGAGCCATCAGTAGAAGAATCAAATGGAACACAAGAACAAGGTAAACAAAAGCAAAAACAAAAGCAAACACCCAAGCAACCTCAAATTAAATTTGATGAGTTCTTACCTTTTCCAACTATCAAGAAGGAAAACTTTGCTAAGCATCAAAGTGCAGTAGAAACACTCGCAAAACAAAAAGGCGTAGAAAACATGGTACAACCAATAGGAGAATTTGCATATCCTTTAATAAGATCACGAAATGAACCAATATTTGTAGGTTATGTTGCTGAAATTATGTGTGAATTATATGGAATCAAAGATCCCAAGGATATCGAGAGCTTCATTGACTTAATCTATGATAATACCTGCAAATTATTCCAAATATAGATTATGTATTAAAGGCATTTGTTAAAATTTAATATACAATAGATTTACAGTTATATAATACAAAAGGAAAATATAATTATTTACCCAAAATCCTAGTGAACATTCAGCGTCTTCTCCGAAGTCTGGGACTTTGCTCCAATATATGTACCTGCTGTTGCATTCTCAATCTGATTGCCCTGGTAGGAACTTCAGGGCTACCTGGATTCCTTCTACTTCTCATATTCCTTGTTGAAGTTACAGGCTCCGCTATTTGCCTGTTAGAACGGCTTCGAGTCTTTCTGGTTTCGAGTCCATCAGAATTATTAAATTCAAGTTTACCCGGTTGTGGCAGTTTTGTTGGGGTTTTTAGAGTCTTATCAATAGAAGAATCATTTTTAATATCTGGATCTAACAGATAATCAAAAATATGCGTCTCCTCTACCTCGTCTGCTTGTTCGCTACTATAATCAACTTCTTCGTCACCTTCTTGTTGTTCTACCTCGTCAATATCTTCTTCTTCCTCCCCATCTTCATCACCAATATCTGAGTCTTCAACGTAGTCCTCAGACTCATCGCTAGCGATGTCATCATCTTCATCTTCTGCAAAAATATCCTCGTCCATAATTTCATCGACGCCTTTAACATCTCTGGTGTCAGGCGACATAGACGGCTCCTTACTACTTTCAATCAATGAATTTACTTTTGGTGGTTGTTTTAATGGAGCCAAATTTTTCCTAAGACTTACATCAATACCCGGATAACAAATGATATAATTATCAATATCATTATCTTCTATATTTGAATCTTCATTTTCTTGACCCAAGTCTAAGTAGCACTCAATTTCTTTAGTTGCCTCTTCTTCAAAAGTATATGGGTTATTTATATCGTCCTTCAAAAAATTGACAATATTAGAAATGCTATTATTGACAACTGGCTGGGATGGATAGTTTGTATTATTATTCAAATTCGGCACAGGATTAGACGGTATGGCTGGCGCAGAATTAATGCCTCCTGATGGACCGAACAACATAGGCTTCCAGAGCAATTTGCTATAGTCTAAACAAATATATTTTTTATTTTGCCATTTTTCAATTATGTAATTTATCTTTTGTAAGTTGACAACAATTCCATATGTCCTAGTAATAGGATTTTTTATCAATGAATCCAATTGCTCTAACCCAACTACTACGTCGGATGGAATCATACCCGTGAGCTTAGATAAGTTCTCTATTGAAACCGATAGAGTGTTATTATTTTTATCATTATCCGCATTATTTAAGTACTTGAGATATAATTCTTTTAATTTCAAGGCGATTGTTATCTTCCAGTAATTTCTGTAACTTACTAGACCTAAATCACTTAAAGGTTTCTCTGGTGTCCCAAATTTAAACTCATTTCGACTTAATAGATAACTAAAGTCAATCAATAAGTTTCCATACCCTTTTCTTTGATATATTGGCAATGTTAAAATACAAGATACGTTATAATCAGAATTGCTGAGCTTTTCCTTAGAAAAATAACCCACAAAATGATATTTCGTAGGGTTATCTTTATCAATTTCTGTTAAAACATAAAATATGAATGGCTCAACGTCATAATACAAAGTCTTTGAATTGAGAAACAATTTCGCTAAGAGACATAGATTTTGGCAGTAGTTGATATTTTTTCTACCGTCAACTTCCCACACAGCTATATTTGTGTTTAAGTCTCTGTAAATTTCTATTCCAGGAGGATGATTATTTGATAAATTACAATTCTTAAGTTGATGACGTTCATATGAAATTGGCGAACTCATATACTTTAAGCAGTGTTCACATATGTATAATATCTTTGATTGTGAATATTCTTCTGGATATGGAGATGTATACCAGGTATCAATTTCATATTCTCGAAACTGTATTTTCTTAATCTGAGATTTCAAATAATTGTTGACTGCTGGGGCTGGAGTAGATTCGGTGCTACCAGGTATAAGAGTTTCTTCCACGGTTGGTAATTCATCGACCTGACTGGATTTTCTTATTTCTTCTCCTTCATGATACAATCTTTGAAACAATTCTCTATCTTTTCGAGTTGGATCAGTGTCATTGATAATGCAATCTGGGAACTTCAAAATCCCCTTGTACGGCAATTCTCTCGAAAAATCATCTGCACTATATTTTGTTGCTTTATGGACATTTTTTTCTTTTATAGGGTATTCTTTGCTCTCGCTTCTCCTTCGAATGGGAATCTTCAATATGTTTCTTGATTTACGATTATTTCTATTATATTTGATCTTCACATAAAAATGTTTCGTTACGGGTCGTATAATGGTCACTTTGGTATCACCACCTATAGACGACTTGATATCGTCTATGTCAGTACCATTCATGGTGGATCGTACTAACTTTTTAATTGAATATGAATTGTTTGGTGGTTTTCGTCTCTGCGACCGGTCAGTAACATTATTACCGAGCGATATATCTTCGTATATTTTATTATTCGTAATCCTAAGCAGATTTAGTAGATTATGTTTAGGCGTCATGCTTGCATATCACCAATTGTCCTTAATCTGCTTTGGCACGGTCTCAAATTCGTTTGTTGATCTGCTTAACAGTCGTAAACCCACCTCAGGTTAGGTGATTTTCATAGTGAACACAAAAAACCGCGTTGTTTAATATATACACGACAAGTCGATACATCCAGTATATCTCCATTCATTACTACATACCGTTGAATTACATTGTAAATTTTCATAACATAAGTATAATTAATGTTGAATCTAAGTATCAATATAAAAAAAGTGATTGACCGAACAGAAAATTATAAAAATAAAGCAATTTCTAATAAAACATAAACTCGTTGAACTCCTCATCTCATCAAAGCGATAGCGTAAAAAGTGAAAGACATCTGTTCATTAAACAATGGAGCCACGTAAGAATAGTTGGGGTGATTAACCATAAAAAAAACCAATAAATAAATTTATAAACAACAATAGCGAAAAAACTGACTCATTAAATCTTCGTTTAGAAAGTATTATCATGAATAATATTATCCTCTAATTATTTTTCATCATCTTGTGGTTCTTCTTCAATTTTGGATTTAGACTCCTCATCATCGTCCTCAACTTCTTCTTCCTCAATATGTTTGTCGTGGACATTATCATTCTCTTCGTATTCTTCACCTTCACCAGACATACCAAAGTGGGCTAAAAGTGATTGCGCTGATGATGTATCTAAATAGATAACACCGTTTTCATTTGTAATTGCATTGCTGGCCAACAATTTCTGTAAGGAAATAGCGCCATTTCCAGCCAAGTCAGCGGCAGTACCGTCTTCTTGAATTTCTTCAGTAGGTTCAGTGGAAAGTTCATTATCTTCTTCGTCTTCATTTTGGTTGAGTCCTGGTCCATTACGCAATCCTGGTAAACCACCAAACATAGAGTAGTAGCTCGAGTTGCTACCAGCAGATTTAGTATTAGAATTCTGGGCTTGTTGACCAATGTCAAAGTACTCCCCATACATTTGTTTATAAATATCATTGTATTCAGGGGAAATCTTACCATAGACTTTACTTTCTTCATCGTTAGATTGGGAAAGCTCAATTCTCTTAATGACCCTGTCGTACCATTGATCCAAAGATTCATTCTTTGATTCATCTAATAAAGCAACAATAGATATAGACATATTATCACATCCTATACCAGAACCGTCACTTGTTGGTGCACAACATAATTCCATGATTTCTTCACAAATGTCTTGCAAAGGCTTACGTTCATAAATACCCCTGCTGACACATTCAACACACTGTTGAGACGAAAGACAATCCCAAATACCATCACATGCTAACACTACAAACTCATCCTTAGTCAAATCCAAGTTGTGCTGTATGACATCTGGGTAACATGTGACTGTTTGTTCTTCAGGTGGTAAGTCAATGTTTTTCTTAAATTCAAAATCACCAATACCACGCGATAAAGCCAAGTTACCGTTGACTCTACCCATATCAACATAACCACCTGCCGAGCAAATACGGCTCTTTTCACCTTCATTAGATGGCTTATGGTCATAAGACAATGCCTTAGCAAAACCATTGATCGACATTATGCTTCGCGAATCACCTGCATTACCACATATGACTTGTCCTGGTGTAATAATAACAGAAACAGCAGCACATCCACTATCGTCTTCCTTCATTTCATCATCGTTTAAAATAGCTTGGTCACAATTTAAAAACCCTTCTTTGAATGCATTGACGTAGTCTTTTTCTTGGAATGCTTTTGTTGACTTGATTATTTCATGCAAATGCTCTCCAGTGAAAATAGCCACCTTTTCACCTCCGTGTCCATCGTAAACACCAAAAAACGAAATGTGCTCCTCAGTCGTGTCATTGTCCGTACCACTTTTGTCGGACGACGAACTTTCTTGTGCCTTCTGCGAGCCTGCTCCTTTACCGTCCCCATTTTTCAAGTCGTATAAGTTCAATATGGTAGCGTGTGCATCTTCCATATTGACTCTCCACCCTTGCATACATGATATACCGTATGCCAAATGTTTGTCGATACCATTTTCTGATATTTTTTCAGTTACTGGTTGTGAAAGTATTTGACCCATGTTTCAATCCTCTATTAATTATTATAACAACTAGAATGGACTATATGAGCTTATGAATAAAAATTCTGTTCAACAGTATGTTTAAAATTAGAAATACGTTATATACCCCAAAAATTCTCAGATTGATTACTTCAAATCAACACTCTTTAAATTCAAAATATTTAATCAAAAATGTACACTTAGTTTAATTGATGTAATAGCTATCTGATCCACCGATTATTCTTCCTGCAAACTAAATTTGTGATAGGTTATTATAACTTAATTTAATTAACACTGTTATGATAAAATTTGAGGTGCCATCATCGTCCACTTTTTGATTTCTTTTTCGCTTAGAGCAAACACGTGATACTTATTGAAATTTTGCAATCTATACTAGTGTCTAGTCGTCTGATATGTTCATGTGAGGAATGGTGCTGAGTGGGAAAGACAGGCTAAGTGTATTGGATTGTAGTTGAATGGGATGTTCAGAAAAGTAAGGAAGAAATCGTAGAGGAACGCAATTTATGATAATACCTAGTGTTAGAGAATCAGAACGGATGGATGATTTAATACCATTGAGTTTGAGTACAGGCTGAAAATGGAACAACGACGTATTTAGTTAATGATATATAATGTTTCAATTGAGATATGAATGATAAAACAAAAAAGAAGGTAAAAAAAATAATATAACAACGGATAAAAATTCTATAATTGGATCATATCTATTAGGGGTACTGTCAAGCAGATTCCCGAAGATAATAATTTCCCACGTCAGATCATTGGAGACGGGTTTATTTTTGAATGAAAGGAATTTGGAAAGAATGATGGATGCATTTTCTGCACGATAGGAGCATTTAAATTATCATAACACAGGATCATTAATATATTCTTTAAAATTAAATTAAGTTTACATTGAAGTCATGGAAGCATTCATTCGTTATTTTGGGCCCCAAATCCCCGAATTGGACGTGTTTGAATTCTCGTAGTTATTGCCAGACAAATTGATGGAGTTGAATTTATTGGCAAAGACCTCAGAGTCAGCGAATTCTTCATTTTGTTGAGATGCTTGAGGGTTCGAGGGACCTTGGGATGCATTATTGGTGGAGTTGTGTAATGATGAAAAACTTCCAGTCAAGTGGGCATGTTGGCCGAATGGCGCAAATCTTGAGTTGATATCTGTGTTAGCCAATGGTGTTGTTGGCTGACTGATTTGATGATTTGCATTAGTATTTCCAAAGTGATAATGTTGGGGGGTAGGAGATTCATTACCGGATTGAGGTTGTTGGGAAAACGTAGTAGATAAAGGCGGTGTTGATCTGACGTCAACATAAGATCTGTTATTAGAAGATCTCAATAAGGCAGCCGCACTAGATGAACCCATAGTTGGTGTTGCAACTTGCTGGCTTTGACCATGGCCCGCAGGTGGTTGTTGAAACATATTATAAGGCTGAACCTGAGAAATATTTGACGAATACAAAGGTCTTTGCGATTGTTGCAGCGATTGCGATTGTTGCAGTTGCTGTAATTGTGATTGCGAACTACTACCTTGAGGATGCGAGAGTTGAGATTGTTGTTGCACTTGAGGTTGCTGCTGATACTGTGGGAAATTCTGTTGGATAGGCGTCGATGACTGTTGTCTTAATCTCGGCATCTGTAACGCAGATTGCGACTGTGATCTTAATAATTCAGGATGCGCCGCTGGAGCTACTCCATTTGGAGGGTTGGATACAACTCCCTGTAATTGGTTCAAATTCATCATCGAAGAAGAATGGTGAGGTGCCGATGATTGTTGAGTTAAGTGAACAGGTTGCTGACCTTGCTTTCTTCTGATTATGATTAATCCGTTGTCATAAAGCTCTAATAAGTTCAAGTATGAACATAATATAGACAAAATCTTTCTATGAGCTATACTCAAAGATGACGGAAAAGCTAACTCGAAAATGGATTTAGACACATCATCACGATAAAGAATCAACTGAGCATATAATTCTAAAATTTCAGGGTCATTAAAGTTCAACTCTGAAGGCGGTAATGGTAAGTTTCCATTAGTGCTTGGAAATGTAATAAATAATCTCTCAGTTTGATTGTTGGAGGTTCCATTGACGCTCAAGTTCTTGGTAGCAGCAGTAGTTGATGCTGCAGATAATAAAGAAGCTAACGATGCATTGGAAGTCGAGCGGTGTTGTTCTTCTAATTGTCCCCTCTTCTCTCTCTTTTCACGTTCAATCCTCTCCCTTTCTTGCGCAGGTAACATCTTCTTATATTCCACACGTAATTTTCTACCCCCAATTTCTCTACCGTTCAAGAGGCCAACTACTGAGGACGTTTCATCGGTCAGAGTGAAATTGGCAAACGCTAAACCTCTGAAAACGCCATTATCAAAATGATAATTGAAAGCATATGGCAACGGTAAGTTCAATTTGGTCATCACATCTAATAATTGTTCTTTCTTGATTGCAAATGGAATATTTTTAATAACGATAGCAGTTGGAATCAATTCATCATCATCATCAATGTCATCATCATCATCGTTATTGTCATTAGCTGCATTTTGTTTAACTTCATTATCATTATCATTATCATTAATACTGCTCGAATTCTTGTCATTCAAGTTCAGCGGGATAACTTTGTTATCAAGCCCGCTCAATGAGGCGACTCCCGCTTGCTGTTGTGCCTGTTGTTGTTCAACCCAAGGACCAACTGTGTTAACAACATGCTGATTAGACGGGTTCAGCGGCTGATTAGACCCCGACGAAATTGGGCCCTGATTCAACCATGCTGATTGTAAATTGGTGCTCGAATTACTATTTCCATTCCCAAAGTTCCTGCCCTGCGACATCCTCAGCTTACTGATTTGGGGTGTGGTATTTCCACCGTAATTCGACGAAGCGTACCCTGATGCCGACGACAATGACGACAACGAAGGACGACGCTGCATAACCGAATCCAACTGGTTCGGCGTACTCGAGAGATTTCTCAAATCCATATTTGTCCGTTGGTTATCTCGTATCTTATTATTCCGAAGCTAAACTGCCGTATCAACGATTTGTATTATTAGTGGTTTTAGCTGTCTAACCCTTTCTATTTCCACTTGAAAAGCCCCGTATTGGAATTAATCGCTTCCTGTCTATATATCTCTAGCCTAAAATGTGTTTTATTGCTAGTTGGCTCAGAATATGTTTTTGGATTTTGATTTATCAACAACTATTTTTATTGTCGCTTTTACAAATCCGTATTTTCAATATGCCTGCTGAACAAGTTATCTGACTCTGCCGAATATCTTGCTATAAGTTATAGATAATTTTCTAACTAACTAAACGACAAACAAATCAATATAATCTCTTCATAAATTTCATTATAAGGCCAACGCCAGTGCAAAATAAATATTACACAAAAAGAAAAATTTTTGTTAAGTGAAAAGTGACACAAAATCGTTGAACGACTTGCCAGAATGTTTACGTGTACAGCTAAGGCAATACGGAAGAATATAATCCTATTTAGATAACTAACAGTAATATAATCTAGAATAATATGGTATGTGCGTTTGAATAATTTCTATTACGTGTGAGAGAACTGGTTCAATTTGGCGTAAAAACGGATCAAATTAGGACCAGATATGAGGATATTTGGACAACGAAAGAAGTGAAAAATTATGTGGACATAAATATACTAACATCGCTATAGTCGTCATCATCAGCTCAGGCCCCAGGGGGATTAAGAAGCGCAGCCAAGAGAAGAGTTACAGCAGATAAAAAGGCACAATCTACCAATGCTATGCCATTATCGACTAGATCAGCCGGAGCCGGAGGATCGTCTGCTACTATGATGAAATTGTTCACCGACGAAGCACAAGGATTGAGAGTCGACCCATTGGTTGTGTTATTTTTGGCAGTTGGATTTATTTTCTCTGTAATTATCTTGCATGTTTTTGCTAAGATTACCGGTAAATTTTCGTCTTAGGATAATAGGAATCCAGCACGATGAAAGAACAGCGAACTAATAAGAACGAGAAGTAAATATGAACAGGAATTATAGTTACTTGCAAGGTTTCCTTTTGGCACCACTAATCTTTATATAATGTATTTTAAGTTAATTATGTACACGGTAATATAAACTACATATCTATCAATAAGGAATTGATAGCGCTAGCCACGCCGTCAATGTGTACCAAGTGCTTGATATCGTTTCCTTCGGCATCGGTCACTATTTCCCATTCAAAATCCCTGGTTTCGTAAAGGCGTTTCCACTGTAAGTCATCGGTGTATCTGCGACCTCTGATTTCGATTTCAACGAGAGGGAATTGGTTACCAAGTATGACCGTCAATGGGATTCCTACCATATGCGATTGTTTGATCTTCTTTCCCAAGCCTATCTTGGGTCTGTTGTCAAGTCTGTATGAAATACCGGCCGCATTCAATAATTCGTAAACCAGAGAACCCTTGGAATTGTCAAACTTAGGACTTTGTACGACAGTTACATTCCAAGGAGCGATAATAGATGGCCACCTGAAACCATTTGAATCTTTATTAATTTCACCTATAGCCGCAATTATCCTACTGATTCCTATTCCGTAGCATCCCATAAGTACGTTGGTGAATGTCAGGCCTCCTTCTGTATTTGGAACTTCAACTTCACACTTCAAAGGATCCGAATATTTATCACCCAAATAGAACGTATGTCCCACTTCAATGGCTCTGTGTAATTTTAAATGACCGTCTTCACATTTGGCACATATTTCGTTCTCGACTGCAGTGACAATAGGAATATCCGTTAAGGTGGTAATTAACGATCTATTTATGAACTTAATAGGGAAGTCTGGAAAGTTCGATCTCAGATTTAATCTCGAATCCATAATCCGGATGATTTTCTTAGATATCAATGTATCTTCGTTCGAGAATTCATTCAAAATTGTATCTTGATTAGTTTCAATCAAGTCCAAATCTGGAATCTCTTCTTTCACAAAGCTTGGTTCGATACTTCTTTCTGTTGGATAATAAGCACACACTAACGTTCCCTTATCCTTAGTCATAAAGTACTGTACTGACACATCGATAGATTCATCAACATCTTCGGGAAAAGATAATGTTTTCTCTATGTTCGAGCTGTTACCACACTCATCGCATGTAAATAAAGTATCCTCGCCAACATTGTGTAAATAATGCCATTCATGAGATAATGAGCCCCCAATTTCTCCAGTATCAGCGTCAGCCTTTACAAATGGTATTTTCAAATCCTGAAATATTTCATAATAAGCATCAACGACTTTATTATAAGTTTCCATCGCCGCTTCCTCGTTCAAATCAAATGAATATGCATCTTTCATCAAGAACTCTCTCCCTCTTAATAAACCACTTCTTGGTCTTTTCTCATCTCTAAACTTTTCATTAATCTGATAATACAATAACGGTAAGTTCTTGTAGGAATTTATATTAGAGCTTACCAATTTTGTTATTTCTTCCTCGCAAGTTGCAACAAGACAGAAGTCATTCTTCGAAGAGTCCTTTAGCTTAAAAAGTTCAGTATTATCCCATCTACCCGTTTCCTGCCATAATTGTGAACTAGACAATAAAGACAAATTTATTTCCTCAGCATCACATTCACGCATACGATGATGAATCACTTGTGAAACCTTCTGTGATATTGCTAGGCCCACAGGTAACCAATGAACAAGCCCGGGTTTTGGATGATGTATAAATCCAAATTTAGTGAATAGTTCATGTGTAGGTATATTTCTTAGATCATTTCCTGATAATTCAACGTTGTTTAAATATAACTTTGGAACTGTAGGCGTATGAATTGATCGAATAGCCAAGTGTCTATATCTACTAGCCCTCACACCTATCATGCTTAGTAAGTTTAAAATATTTCCTCGATATTCCGATAGATAGCACTCAAATGTAACTAATTTTTCAGGCCATAAATTTCTCACGCTCAGTATGATACTCCATTACTACAGTATTTCGAATATTTAATGATGATATAGTCTTTATTGATGATATATATTAAAAGAGTTCAAGAAACATAATTCAGTAAGAATAATATTACATTGCAATCTATATAACTTAGTTTTTCCTAAACTTGGATTCAATTTGTTCAACAACATCGCTTCCGTAACTTCTCAAGTGATGCAATGCACTATTGAAATCTTCCTGGGCTTGTTTCAATTTTTCGTCGGATGAAGGTTCCGCTTTTTGGAAAAGAGACTTAACGTTGTCATTGGCCTTCTTGGTTAAGTCTTCCAAGTTCTTCTTAGCAGCTTCAAAATTACCAATCGCTCTTTCTCTACCTTGGATGTATGTCGCGCTCAATGGATCACCAGCTTCTCCGAAACCCTCATCAGATGCTCTGGCTCCCTTGTTATAAGCAGTCCTGTTAGATGTATTAGTTGGGTTTTCCCATTCTTTTCTAACTCTTTCTCTTTCTTCATTGAACTTGTCAGCAGCTTCATCGGCCTTCTTAGATCCCCAGGAAGTCCAGGCATCCTTTTCCTTTCTGAGTCTTTCAGCTTCTTCGTTAGCCTTTTCAGTAGCTTCGTCGACCTTTTTGGATCCCCAGGAAGTCCAGGCATCCTTTTCCTTTCTGAGTCTTTCAGCTTCTTCGTTAGCCTTTTCAGTAGCTTCGTCGACTTTTTTGGATCCCCATGAACTCCATGCGTTCTTCTCAGCAGCAGCCCTGTCAGCAACTTCGTCAGCCTTCTTAGAAGCTTCGTCAGCCTTCTTGGATCCCCAGGATGACCAAGCTTTCTTTTCTTGAGCAGCCTTGTCTGCAACTTCATCGGTCTTCTTAGAACCCCATGCAGACCAAGCGTTCTTTTCCTTCTTGAGTCTTTCAGCTTCTTCGTTGGCTCTGTCGGCTACTTCATCCTTCTTTTGTGAGCCCCAGGAGAACCATTCATTCTTCTTCTTTTCAGCGTCCCTCTTGGCTTGGTCATAGTTATTGTCTAACTTGTCAGCTGCTTCGTCCTTTTTGTTTCCGAACCAGTTGAACCAAGAGTTGGCCTTATCTTCAGCACGCTTTTTGTCACTTCTAGCAGTTGACTTCAACTGGTCAACTTGACTTGTGGTTGACCCACCAATGTCATTGACCAAGTCAATGTATTTGTCTGTCAACCTGTACAAGACATTCTTGTCTTGGTCCAAAGCAGAATCAATTCTTCTAGCAGATTCATTAGCACTGCCACTGATGCTGTTCACAAGTCTCGAGTGCTTAATTGAGTCAAGTGTAGATTCCGATGCCTTTTGTGCTTCTTTTTGCTGTTCGCTTGTGAAGCTGGAAACCTTGTCGAATAATTCGTTCTTCTTATTATCCAACTTATCAACCTGTCTATTTATGTTACGATTGATTTTTTCTCCAGTAGAGGCTGGTTGAGGTGGAATTCTTTGTTGTCTTGGAAAAAGTTCCTGAACATTTTGGTCATACCAATAAACTGCACCACCAGTTGCAGCTAACGCTAATATATACTGAGTACCTTTTGACATAATTCCAGTATCTTAAATAAGTTTCTTAAATTCTTAATCTAAAAAACTTCAAAAATCGTAAATACCGTCAATTGAGCTCCCGAATGCTTATATATAGTAATCCGTATGAAGGATTGCTATAAACGATTGCTAAATAAATGATCTGTTGGATTGCTATCCGAATCACGAGGAAGTTCCAAAATTTTCGGTATTAACTACTCACATGAAAATCATAAAAGCGTTATGCCAACGGCTTTTCGTAGCACACCAGGACGTAAATCAATGAATCTGATGGACTTGAGGTTATCTATATGGTCTAGAGATTAAATTGACGTTTACTAAATGTTTGTAGCATGTGTGGTTGATGAGTTGTTCGTATAGATGCTTTAGAGAGATTCTCGACGTACAATAGGGACGAGAGGAATGAAATATGTAGTCAGAATGGTAATATAGACACTCTATAGGGTCAATTGATCGATATAAGGTTACTGTAGGCCAGAGAAATAGATATGGTTAAGGTAGACTAGTTTCACTGGAGTTAGACAGATGTAATGGTGGTTTTTACTGAACTTGTTCACACTAGTAGTCTGATCGATTGCATCAACCATCAGATGAAATTCATGTGATAAAAAAGGAATGATACAGGGCCACAATAGGCTCAGTTTCGTGTTTGTGTGTAAGGTGTCCGATTCAACAAAAAATTCAAAAGGAGCCTTCGGCTGATTCAGGAACGAGGGTCGCAAGAAATTCCATAAATCGCTTAAATGTCTAAAATAAACGGACTCTCTTGGGGCTGGTATATTTCATGAGAAGGTAGAGGTGTAGGGATGTTTTGACTCAAGGTGCGAAAAACTAAGAGGTTGCAGGCGATAGAACGAAATGTAGGAACTCGACATCATATTCCAGTTTACTGATATTCATGATCTGTACGGACAAAGTTGATGTGTTTTGGGTGTAAGAGAACCTTTTTTGGCTAACTAAAATTTCCACAACCTTTTTTCCCAAGTCTTCCAATTAGAGGAAAATGGGAGTAATGGTCAGTAGTCCACTAATTAATCGTAAATGATTAAAAGGAATACCTAATACCAACGAAACAAGACTTAAACAGTTTGCTATATTTATATAATTATAAATCAGATTACTTATCGCCTAAAATCCAAGTAGGTTGAGAACCATAGCTTTACGAAATCTCTCTTGGTCAAAATTATTATCGTTTGTATAAAATAACACTATACACTATATTCGCAAGGAGTGCATGAACGAGTGCATGTCTCTCAAGAATTATTATTTAATCTATTGATTACTCGTAGCAGGAAAACTTCCCGGTAACGGTCAGAGATTCCGATCAACACAAAAAATAATGAGTGTGCAAAACTAGAGGTGGGGTCTCGTCAAGCCCATATATTCGAAATGGAGGTCTCTCATATTACTCATACAGAAGTTAATATTTACAAGCTTTATATGTCAGTTATACAATTGTTACTATTGGTTAACCATCACGATGTATCGCTGCAATCATCTCAATTTTTGGTTCGCTTGATAAATCTTGCGCGCTCCATAGCTACTCCACAATTTGTTGCGGACAGAAAAACCGTATGTGTTGCATAATTTTCATCTACATTTAGCTCGAATTACCGCCATTGGTAACGTATCATTCAACCGTATCTCTGAACTGGGGTATCACGAGTCAAGTTTCTACTTGCGATTTAATTTTATATAACGGAAAATAGAACTGTGATATCTTCTGAAACCGATAAATATTGTTCCAATAATGTAGCCTAAGAGGTGGGATTAAATCCCGCTCTATGTTCAAAATATTTAAATATCGACGAAATAGGACAACTCCTAAAGTTTTCAAAAGGGATTTTCGAGAACATTAATGAATATGACCTATAAAAACCACAATGATAAAACCTTTCTGGTGCATTCAAATGCAAGCAAAGATGCAAATCCGAACTCTGATATAGAAGGTAACTTTATAACTTCGATAAGATCACCGCAAACCGGTAAATTTGTTAATATTACCGATGATACAGATATTGCTTTGAATTACATTGCGGATGAAAATGTGCTAAACATAGATGAGGCGACAAATAGAAGAATACTTCGAAAAATTGATAGATATTTGATGCCACTTATGTGTTTATTATACTGCTTTCAATTTATTGACAAAATGTCCAACTCATTCGCATCCATTATGGGAATGAGAGAGGATTTGAATATGGTTGGTGACCAATATTCCTGGAGTGGAACTTCTTTTTATCTAGGGTACTTAGTATTTGAATTTCCAGTATCTCTTCTATTACAAAGATTCCCAGTAGCAAAGACTGTATCAGTTTTCATCATTATATGGGGGTTTATATTGTGTATGCATTCAGTTCCTCAATACGCTGGATTTATTGCATTACGGACAATATTGGGAATGTTGGAAAGTGCAGTTACGCCAGCATTCGTCATTTTAACCAGTCAGTGGTATAAAAAAGAAGAACAATTCATCAGGACTGCCTTATGGTTCGGCTGTAACGGTATTGGTCAGATTATTGGCGCAGGAGCAATTTCGTATAACCTTTTTGTCAACGCAGATTCGTATTCAATTGAAGCATGGAAATTATTATTCATAATAACTGGTGTTTTAACAATTGCTCTTGGCTTCGTGGTCATGGTCCATATACCTGATACTCCAACAAAGGCGTGGTTTTTAAGTGATGAAGAGAAAACTCTTGTCGTGGAGAGAATCAGATCAAATCAGCAAGGTTTTGGAAACAAGAATTTCAAGAAGGACCAATTCATTGAAGCTGTTACTGATATTCAGACTTGGTTCTTTGCTATATTCACGATAGCCAACAATATTCCAAATGGTGCGGTGACTAATTTTAGTAGTATTTTGATCTCAGGTATGGGTTACTCACTTTCAGAATCATTATTGATGCAAATGCCACAGGGTGCATGCATGACTTGTGGTTGTATTGGAATTGCTTGTGGAACACTTCTTTTTCCCTACCGGATATTCTGGGGTGCCCTCGGAGTCTCAATTAGTATAATTGGCTCTTGCATGCTTTCGTTTGCTGGTCCACACAAGGCACAATTCGCCGGTCTTTGTCTTTGGAATGTTGGACCGGTTGGTTTCATTTGTTTGTTGTCAATCATTGCTTCTAATACCGCAGGACATACTAAAAAGATCACAGTCAATGCTATTAATTTAATTGCATACTGTGTTGGAAATTTGATAGGACCACAAACCTTCATCGAAGCTCAAGCTCCTGGATATGCAGGTGGTAAGATAGCAATTGTAGTTTGTACTTTAGTTGCATTATGCATGCTCTTTTGCATCTGGTTCGTATTCTGGTCTCGTAATAAAAAATTAGATGCAAATCTTACTACCAAAGTTGAGAATCTTGAATTCGCTGATTTAACTGATAAACAAAACCCTAACTTCAGATACGCATTGTGATTGAATATGGTATATCTATTAATATTCCTTAACTATTTATTGTACAATTTTATTGCTTATTTTCTTTGTTTGTGACTTTTGAATGATTGATATCAAGCGATCAAAGTATCTATTTTTCCAATCAGTTGTATCTTCAAAGCTCAAATTGATATCTTAGCAACTCGGCATATTCTTTGCAGCCATAGAGTTTCGATTAGTCATAATACACAGCACAATTATTGTTATTCTTAGCGGTTAAGAATACTCTCAAATCCCCCTCGGTATTTCGTTCCGCTCATAATTTTGTTTTCGCAGCTTCATCAGAGTGCGCTTGACTCTAAAATTAGGAGATTTGTGGAGCAGCGAATAATGATTTGGGGAAAGATATTAAATCTTAAAACTCCAATTCCATAAAGGATTTAAAGCCCCTCAATTTCTTGACTCTTCAATGTGGAGATTAAATATTTTCTTATCCGTCGAAGGTGTCCTAAATAAAGTTACTAAGTAGCTAAACATCCATATCATAATGAATAAATCAGGAAAAAGCAAAATTTAACGTGGAAAATATTGTAGTCGAATATGGTTTGAAAGTCGATTCAGAGAATAAAGTTATAACGTCTATAATGCCCCCTCATAGTGGGAAGTTGGCTAGTACTACAACGGATGGAGATGTATTGAATTACATCATGGCCGAAAAGAAAATTGGAATACGTGAGGCAACAAATGGCTATTCTGAATCAGAATGCTTATTATGCTTATTACTGCAAATTTCCCAATGTACATCAATGGTAACTGGGATAAGCTTGATAACTAGAGGTACATTGGTCTTTCCATGTCGTATCTTGTAAGCACCGATCAGATTCTTGATTAGTTAAACTGGCTCCTGTATGCTTTCTTTAATAGTTTATATAAATTTCATCATACGTCTTCCAGTTCATTGGCAAGGCTCCTTTGAATATGGTTGGCATTTTGGACCCGTAATAAACGGATGCATGCAAGTATGAATACTGAAGTAGAAAATCTAAAAATTGGTTAATGACAAAATCCTGACTTTAGGTATTCCTTGTAATGACGTATAACTTACATATGACTATTAAACTATCATTTAGGTGTGGAGCATTCTTATTACTCCTTTACTTTTGTGCTATTCTCCAATAATCATTTGAATAGTATTTACATTTCTATCATATACGTGCGTCAATTGTTCTGCACCAAACACATCAACGCTGTCATCATCAATTTGAGTAGTATTTAATATACATTCAATTACTGTTGGCTATTGTTGAAATTATAAAGAAATAATAAGATTCCTCAATCCATGTAATTGTTGAACTTTTAGTTCGGACCATGGCTCAAATCAATATGCGATGGTACAAATATTCTTGCAACTTGCTATAAACTGTTGACTAACATCATGCTGCTATAGCCATGAAAATAAAATAGGCCTATACAAGATTTATATTCTAAGTAGCAAATATACAGACTAGACCTAATTTCAACGCAAAACATTTTCTAAGCGAGATTATATGTCAAACAGAAAAATAAAATCATACATTAAGGACATTCATTCCTAAAACAGCTCTTTCATAATCTCAAATTTTCATTGAATCCTGCTCAATAGTATTACTTGTTATTTAATTGTGTGCTCATTTCCTTATTCCATTATTTCCACATCCCTACTATACTTAATCCACATCTATTCAACACCAAATAAAAAAATCCTATAATAATTGCTTGAATTTATCCTTACCCAACAATTTCAGTCCCAAATTATCCTCTAGTCACCTCTAGACCTATATTAAGGGGTCCTACTCGCTACCGAGTATTCTCAATTTGGCCCAAAAAAATTATTACATTATCAGGCAGCATCTCGGAACTTGCAGGATACGCTTTAATCCACACATTTTCCTTCTCTAGACATTTCTTTCACGTCTACACCTATTTACCTCACCTCTTCATCACTCATATATTGTATACACCTTCTATCTGCCAAAATCTGTATCCTACCCTTTTTTGGGATATAGTTGCAAAACCCACCCACATGTTGCTTAGACAGACCCCCTATCCACCATCTAGAACAATCATTTAACTCCCTAAACATACACATCTTCTAGACTACATACACATTCTCGTAAAAATTAATTATGCTATCTACTTCCACCAGTCTACCATCTAGCTCTCACTAGCACCTGTAACCACCAATGTGGCAGAAGGCGCACTCTGACAGATATGACCGCCTGTACCGCAAACTAATCTACAAATGCTTTTCCAATTACATTTAACTGTAATCCAATCACCCGTAACACATACGTCGTGCATAGGCTATCTGGCCTTCTCAGCATATACATTGTCCGCTTTGTCTACAAGAATAGGAGCTATCTTGATAGAGGGCCTCTGCACGTGACATATGAGCCAGTCATTCAAATCTTGAAACCGTCAACAGATGCAAAAATTTAATTTGGTCATGAATTGATAAATAAACGTTTCACGTTTAGTAATTTAACAAATATTCATATATGATATATACATATTAAGTATATTAAATTGACAGCTTGATGTATTAAACATTGACAAACTGAGACTACGAAAAAGAGGTAAAATTTGAGAATAAAAGACCATTAACCGCCCCTTTCCATAGCGTCACAGATCAATTGTAATTGATAAGGAAAGACCACAAGGGCAAAAAAAATAGAAAATTTTAAAAAAAACGGCATGAGCATGGGATCAACAACTATAGATCTATCACTTGATTATGATACACAATGTGATGAATCTCTTTATAAATTGTGGAAAATAACCAACAATCTGATACATTGCCCGAAGATTTCATCTACCGAGCGGTTGAATAATCGGTCGTGGAGGATGTTGAACCAGAAGGTGTTGTTGAATAATGAAGCAACTAAGGATGTATTGAAGGACTTGTATGTTGATTCGTTGTCGGATTTGAAACCCAAACTGTCGCAATTCTTGTCAAGCAGGCCGTCATTATTTCTGAATACTTCTAAAAGTACGTTATTCTCACATAGCTCGAAAAATAGCTCTGTGGGCGAAAAGAATGATGTTGAATCGCTAAGGGATGGGTCTGAAGACATATCGGACATTTCAGACATATCAGACATTTTGGAAGAGGATGATTACGCATCGAGCGATAACGATGAACAGGATAAGAAAATCAGCGAGTCCACCATTCAGAAGATTAGCACTTACGATCAACCAGAACCTAATTTTGCATTTGGTTACTTTCCGCCCCAAATAGATATACAAAATAAGGAGACGGAAACCAAGCCATCATTAAATAGATCCAAGACTTCGTTTGTGCGAGGCTTTTCTCCAAATCATATATCTATTGCGTCGCTGTGCAATAAAAGCAAGGAATCTTTATCCATGCAAGCAAAGAAGGATAATAACTCGACTGGGGCAGACTGCGCCGATGAAAACATGTGTCGGGCTAATAGGAATATATTCTACATAGCTAATTCACCATCGCCTCCTCAAAATACTGGCAACAATCGTAACAGTATAACTAACAATAGTGATGGCAATAACAATGCATGTCACAAGCCGGTTAGCAATTCAAGCTCTATGGTATCAAAGACGGGTGAATCGAATGGTAATTTCCAGCCTTCACCAATAAAGCGGCAGGATTCTTTGTTTAACAATCTCATGGAGCAAAATAAAGCAATTAATGCGAATGACGATTATTCATCTACTGATATTTCGGAAGAGGAAGACGATGATATTCTGGATGAAGATCAACTGGATGCAGAGGATGATACGAAGAATACAATTTGCGAAGGTAAATCTAATAATAATACGTTTTCCAGTGATTTTGATGGCGAGAGTGAAAATATATGTAAATCGCATGATTCGACTAGTAAGGAAAAGTTCCAAACTCTGGATATGATCATCAAGGATCACGGAAAAAGCAATGATAATGATAGTGAATGGCTTTCTATATCATCCGATGACGAGAAAAATTGTGAGCCTAGTCCACAAGAAAAATTAGTCTTTGACAAGAGACTAAATCCAATGTCGAATAATTCGTCTATATCCACGGACATAATTCCAATTCAAAATAGCGAGAAATGTTCGTCTCCACCTATCAGTAAGCCAAGGTCATTGTTATCAAGTTTATTTTTGAATGAAATGGGGTCTTCTTCTTCGGCATCTCTGTTTAGTATGACAAATTCGAAGCCTTTATTAAAAAGGTCATCAACTACGGGAATCATAACAATAGATCAAATGGATAATGGATCTAAATTTAATTCGAATAAAAAATCGAATAAAATCAACCGACCATCTATTTTATTTTCAAAAAAGCATACATCTTTGACGGATATTTCTAAGAACTATCCTCATTACCATAATGATTTGGTTCAAAAGCATATCTTAAACGATTACACGAACGATCAAAATAATGACGACGATGAGGGTAATTTCCCAGGAAAGCAAAAATCAATAGTCGGAGTTTCCGACTTTAATGTCACTAGTAAAGCGACAAGTGTTAGCAATGCGAATAGTATTAATAATGATAATTCGAATATTAATGTTAATGATAATGATAATAATGACAGTTTAACGTTGGCGTCTAGTTTGAACAAATATTCAGATTCCCTTTCAAACAATTCCATCAAGAGTATCATATCCAGAAGTTCATTAAACTTAACTCAACTCTTTAATCCTAAGACTAAACTGAAAAAGGAAAGTAATGTGAGTTCCGAAAAACAAGATTTGCTCAAACCGACAACTCAAAATTCGCGCTTGCCAGAGCTTTTGCATTCAACCAAGTCATTATCACCATCATTCTTGCCTACGTCTTCTATTTTGAGAACGACTTCGACACAACTCCCGAATCAAAATTATAACCAAACCCACGAACAGGATCCGTACTCAAAGGATTCTGCTGATGCTATTTCTAATTCTACTTCTCATTCTCATTCTAATTCTATTTCTACAGCGAATGCCGTTACCGACCCAGACCCTAACCTTAAGATCAACCCACATCCAATTGCAAAATCCGAATCAAACCTAACCACAAACTCAGATGGCAGCACAGATATTAATAATGCAAGATCAATCAAGTTATCCCCAAAATCAACCAGAAGATCCATGCTTTCGACGGAATTAAGTAATTCCTTAAAGGAGTCCATCTTAATTGATTATAAATTGGGTAAGATTCCATTACCGTTGAAAGTCATCAACGATGGGGAATTTGTAAATAAAAATACTGATACAAATGAATATTTAGATGATTATCACTTAAGGGGTTGGTAATATTGGTATATATATATATATATATATATAAGTCATTATAGGGTGTTATTTATTGAATATAGTTTTCTATAACTGTTATTTATTCCTGTGTATAGGCGAATAAATTTTTCATCTTATCAGGTACATAATTCAAGAGTAAACCAAATACATTGTAAATTAGATCTATTGTTAAAGGATGAAAACATGCTACTATGAGTTATTGCAAGTAGAATCTACAGCAACAGACTTAGAGTTGAAAAAAGCCTATAGAAAAAAAGCCCTTCAATTACATCCTGACAAAAATCCTGATGACGTAGAAGGTGCTACCGCCAGGTTTGCATTAGTACGAGCAGCATACGAAGTATTATCAGATCCTCAGGAGAGATCATGGTACGACTCACATAAATCCCAAATTTTGAGAGATGAAGATACTTTTGAAGTGGATGAGAATGAATTGGTAATTCCAAGTATTTCTGTCGAAGAGATCTTGAGATATTTCAATCCTTCTTTCTATACAACAATAGATGATTCACAGGTTGGATTTTATAACGTTGTGAGTAGACTATTTGAAAGAATAGCGGCTGAAGAGATTAGTCATGCTAAACATCAAGGGTTAGTCAAATATGAAAAGTATCATGATGATGCGCCAAATGTTAATGTAATTGAAGAATCCATGTTGTTATATCCAAGATTTGGAAACAGTAAGAGTGATTATATATCACATGTCAGGCCGTTCTACAATACATGGTTATCTTTTCAGAGTGTCAAGGCATTTAATTGGAAAGACGAGTATCGTTATTCCACAGCACCTGATAGAAGGACAAGAAGACTCATGGAAAGAGAAAATAAAAAGGCAAGAGATGCCGCAAGAAAGGAGTATAACGAGACGGTTAGAAGTCTTGTTGCATTTATTAAGAAAAGAGATGTGAGAGTTAAACAAGGAATCAGTGAATATGAAAAGCAAAAGAAGAAAAAGCAACAGGAAGAATTGGCAGATCAGATTAGAAACAACCGCCAAGATGAATTGAGAAAGTTGGCGACTCAAAATAATTTTGAAATCCAAGACTGGCAGCAATTATCAATAGAAGAATTGAATGAACTCGAGCAAATGCTAGACGAAGAGTATAATTCTAGCTCGGATAGCGAGTTTGATGAATTCGAACAAACAGGAGACGAAAATTATTTTGAATGCTTCGTTTGTAACAAATACTTTAAATCTGAAAAACAATTTGAAACACATGAACAATCAAATAAGCATAAGAAGGTAGTAAATAAATTAAAGTGGGAAATGCAAAAAGAAGGTATCGAGTTGGGCATCGACAAGGAGGATGTAGATCTAGATGAATTCGAGACGGCTAGTAGTGGATTAGAATCGGAAGACTATGATTATGATATCAACTCTGAAAGTATTGACAACGTATCGGAAGCATCAGAAACCTACAACGAGAATCGTGAAGAAGATGATGCTCTAAAATCTTCGGTAATCATAGACAATGCTTCTGATAACATAGATAACATAGAATTTGAAGTTGACGATGAAATAAATAGTGATTTTGAAAATAATGCTGAACCTATAATAGAGCCACAACCATCGCTTAAAAAGAAGCTGAAAAACAAGAAGAGTAAAAATAAGAACAAAAGTATGCCAACATATTCAGATGATGAAGATGATGAGTTGAAAAGAGAATTGTCCAAGCTTAATTCTGACCTAAAGGGCGTAGCACTAGAAAGTGACAGTGACTGGTCAACAAATACAAAAAGTAAAAAAAACAAAAAAAAGAAGACCCCCAATGCTGATTCGGAAACTTCAAGTCCTCGGCCCCAAGCAACAATTCCAAAGAAAAAAAAGAATAATGAATCTGATGAGTTACCTTCCTACGTACCTAAAGGTTCAGAGATATGTGTGGTTTGCAAAGAACTATTTACATCAAGAAACAAGCTTTTTCAGCATGTTAAGTCAACAGGTCATGCTGCTCCTTTAGCTCAAACCAAAAAGGGTAATAAAAAAAGGAATTAATTTAATATATAATAATGTACATAGATTATTAATTGATGTCTATTTTAAACCAGTCTTTGATTTCTTGATCTTTGCTACAACAGGTTCGCTGATGCCCTTATTTCCATGCGCACCCAAACCTTCACCCTTACTCCAACCTAATTTCTCTAATAATTGTCTACCAATATTATTCGCACCAATCTCTGGAGCAGAAGCTCCAACAATTTCTCCTTCCCTGGTTTGAGCATTAGATTGTGATTTGTTCCGACCTCTAGACCTGTCCTTCTTGGAATTACCATCAGATCGAGTTATTTCATCTTTAGGTCTCTTTTGGTCTGTTCTATTGAAAATTGGTCTTTGTCTCAAAACACTTCCAATTTGATCATACCTTGGTAAATAATGAAAAGTTTTTCTGTTTTTGGAAACCTTGATGAACAGCTTTAAACCTGTACCACACTTTAATGATTTCATGTTGTAAAAATTCGATATTTTAATAATTGTCTTATTTCCATGTGGGTCTAATGGAGGAAAATTCATGGAATCCCTTGAAGTATCGTGTAAAAAGACTTCAAATTCATTGCTAATATCCTTAATGTGCAATGAGTAGGGATATTTAATTAATAAATCATGTCTAGCAATTCCTTCCTCAAGTCTTGCTTCTTCGCGGCGTTGTTTCTTTGATCTTTTTGCCTCGCGATGAACCTGATATTGATCTTGCAATGATTCCCGCATATCTATATCTAGTTGCATTCTATCGAGGTCTAATTGTTTCTTTTTACCCAGGCCCTTAGTCTTCAATCTCTCAGTGGAAGGTATATCTAAGTCCATAAAGCTTTGCTGTTGTGATTTGGTGAAGGCAATCATAGCTGCTAAATTTTCGTCGTCATCATTCGTCTCTTCTTCCTCTTCGGAGGTTTCTGAAATATATACATCTGAATAATTCGGAACTTCTATCAGTTCTTCATCAATCAATCCCTTTGTAATGAACTTCATAAAGCTGTCTAGTCTATGCTCTTTCACCCCTTTCAGAAGAACGTAATCAACTAAGTCGTCTTCATCAAGCCACATAGATTGGTCATCGGATCCCGTTAATTCAGCACATTTTGTATAAAACTGATTCTTTATTCCAAATCTTACGTTTGATATAGAAACTTGAGAAACATCAAATTCATAATCTTCAGGAAGGAAGCCATATTCAATCTCTGATGGATCTTTCTCGCTTCCATCATTGTCATCATCATCATTTTCTTCTTCTGATGAGGAAGAAGACGCCATAATATCAAAGTTAGTTTCACTTTCGTATTCATCAGAATCCACATCAAGCTTTCCATCACGCATAACTTGAGCAATGTAATCTTTATACCCACCAAAATCATCATCTGAAATATCAGATACGTTCTTCTCTGTATTAGGGATTCTTTTTCTCTCCTCGATGAAACCTTTTGTCGATATTTTATTCAAATGATTGACTGACATAAGCTCCGCTGTCGATTGACCGTTTGCATCTTTCTTCGTTTGCAAAGAAACCTTTCCAATATTTAGAACTGGGTCATATTCCACACCCCCGTATATGCTATCAACGTGATCCTGAGTCGATAACTTTGGCAATTTACTTTGAATTAACAATGAAGTCATCGGCTTTACTGGATGAAGATTTTTTGCAATCTCAGCATCGCCTGTATCGTCTATTACGAACGCATCTTCTTCTTCTTCTTCTTCTTCTTCATCCCTTTCTGATTCGCTTTCTATTTTATAATTTTCATTTTCGTCATTTTCGATTTCCCTTTCTTCTTCTGTGTCTTCCGTTTGCTCTGCTTCGTCGCCAGACTGTCCGTCATCTGCATTCTTCAATGTTTCACCCCTATTTTCTATATTCGAGTCAAGCGAGGTATTTGACGATGTTAGGTGAGTAGCTACTTCATGTATAGCATCATTTTCACTCTCTTCTGACAAAATATCTAAAGTTGGCGATTCGGGCACATGGGCCTCCTGCACTGGTGGCGAATTCATACTATCGAGTAACTCCTGGTGTATCTTCGGAATACCACTCTTACCTAGCTTCTTGAACAATTCAGCGCTCGGATCGTATACTTGCTTAGCCTTAACAAATTCTATAGGTCTATTACGCAATGGCTGTCTTAACGTATCCTCTATGTGCTTATCCGTATACCCAACTTCTTCGTATAAATGATGACGACCTGGTCTTCTAGATAAGTTTTTCATACTATTCCTAGACACCTTAGCATCTATTTCAGGAATATACACATTTTCATCGAGATCCATCAACTCTGGGATATCAATATTTGTCGATCTAGAAGTTCCATGATTTTTCGATGACCCTTGGCCTGTCTTTTTCTTATTCTTATTGGTTTTAAATCGTCCAAAATTGGATCCACCTCCGCCCCCACCTTTATCTTTTCTTGGGTGGCTCTTTCTACCTCCTCTTTTAGGCATTTTATAGTGTTTTGATTTTAAAGAAGTATAGAAGACTTTTATATTGCCTAAATCTTTCACTGCTGATACTATCAAAATTGCAAATTACACAAAAAACTGTTCCTATCGTGGGGCAATATAAGCGGTTAATTAGTAAATCATTAATATAAACAAGCAGTTTAGTATTTGTATTGCTGTTAAGTATGAGTGATAGAGACAATAATGAACATGGTGCCTCTTCGAACAAAATAGCTTCAAATGAAAATAACGAAGCAAACAAGTTAGGATTTAATTTTGGTCAATTATGGCTGCAGATAACAACAACTTATCCTCTAATCGACAGAATTGATAATCAAAGACTGAGTAGAGATGAAAATATCGGAGCAGAGCAAGAGAAAAATCCCGTAGTTATTTTAGGTAAAACATATGATGATGTTTCCATGAATGATGGAGTTATAGAACAGGATATACATTCTAAAATTTGGTTGACTTACAGAACGGGATTTGAGCCCATCCCCAAGTCTTTGGACGGACCCCAACCGTTATCGTTTGTTCAGTCGATGGTATTTAATAGAAATCCGATTTCCAGCACATTCAACAATTTCCACGGTCTAATTGATAATGACAACTTCACTACTGATGTTGGGTGGGGATGTATGATAAGGACTTCACAGTCGTTGCTAGCAAATGCATACCAATTGTTATTGCTAGGAAGAGACTTTAGCTATGATAGAGATAGAAATTTGAGACACGACGAGATTATAGATATGTTTCTGGACGAGCCACGAGCGCCGTTTTCTTTGCATAATTTCATCAAAGTGGCATCAGAGCTGCCCTTGAGAGTCAAACCGGGGCAATGGTTCGGTCCAAATGCAGCGTCTTTATCTATAAAGCGATTATGTGATAACGTATATCTTAGAAATGGGGCAGGGAAAGTGAAAGTACTTATCAGTGAGAGCAGCAACTTATATGACGATACTATAACACAAATGTTTACGACATTGAACCCGGTACCAGATGCATTATTGATATTGCTACCTGTGAGACTTGGTATTGACAAAGTAAATCCTTTGTACCATGCAAGCGTATTACAATTGTTGTCTTTAAATCAATCGGTAGGAATTGCTGGCGGGAAACCTTCCTCAAGCTTTTACTTCTTTGGATACCAAGGCAATGATTTGTTATACCTAGATCCCCATTATCCTCAATTTATCAAAAATAAAGCATCCATATACGATACTTATCATACGAATCTGTACCAAAAACTTAGCGTTGATGATATGGATCCTTCTATGATGATAGGGATTTTGATCAAGGATATAAATGACTACGAGGATTTCAAGCGCAGTTGTACGGTATTATCTAATAAAATACTTCATTTCCATTCTACGTCTGAAAACCCCGATAGAAGAACTTCTATTAGTGAATTCAAGAGAAAAAATTCCGAATTCGTATGCATCGAACTGAAGGATGTACAAAGAGGTGAAGAATTTATTACAATCAATAATACTTCGAATGATGACTTAACTAATTTGGAAGGCTTTGTTGATATGGCTGACGAATTTGACAGGGAAATTGATCAAAATAACAAAGACAATAGCTTTGATGATGACGAACCAATTAATGTTTCACAGACAAGTATAGGAACAAGCTAAACCCAGACACTTTTTGAAGACCATAACTAGTTAGTCTGTAAATAATCTGCTCTTATATAGTTTATCCTTGCTGGACAAGACAAATTACATATATATGATGAATGCTGTCAAGGTCGTGTAGAATCTCAAACAACTAGTTTAGAATTTAAATTATTATTTCGACCCTTATACTTTCCAGCAAATATTCCTTTTAGTCATTAAGTTACTTAATTCATATTCATCTCTCATAGTCGCCTTAACGCCTTCGGTTTGTGTTCTATATCATCAATTGTCTGCGTTTTGTAATATAGATAGAATCTGCTATTTTTTCTTTTATAAAAGAGAGTATAAAAAATAAATCATCAAGATTGATTAATAAGTCGAGACGCTGGGAAGAACATAACTATAATCAATATGATACCCGATAGTCTAAAGATTTGTACTGTATGTGCAGCTAATAATAATAGATCTATGGAATCGCATAAGCAACTTAAAGACGCTGGTTATAATGTTAGGTCATTTGGTACTGGTTCAGCAGTAAGGTTACCGGGACCTCTGATTGACAAGCCAAATGTATATGAATTCGGGACCCCTTACGAAGATATTTATCGTGATTTGACAAGTCAAGATTATCACAAGATGTACGAATCCAATGGGCTTATTCGCATGATCAATAGAAATAGACATATAAAAAGAGCGCCAGAAAAGTGGCACAACAATGCATCGGCCGGTAAGTTTGATTTGGTAATAACCTGTGAGGAGAGGTGCTTTGATCTTGTTCTTGATGACCTTATGGTTAGACTTGTGAATAAAGATCAACCTGATACCGAAGTTAAACAAGTTGTTCATATAATTAATGTCGATATCAAGGACGACTATGAGAATGCCGTTATTGGAGGAAAAGGAATCTTAAAACTTGTTAATATGATCCATGAATTTAGAAATACGAATAAACAAAAAAGACAAGATCATGATTTTGACGATGAATCAGATACTATTTTGGAAGACCAAATGATGAAAATTTTGACGAAATGGCAGCAAGAGCATACCCATTTACAAACTATATATAGTGTAGCATATTATTAAGCGTATACAAATGTACTTTAATTATTTATGAATATAGTTCTAATGTTTAGACCATGTAAGAAAACACGTGAAAAGCGATGGAACCAAAATTAAATTTCCATGTCAAGAAGACATAAAGCCTGTCATAGGTAGTAAATCACATAAATTGCAATGCCTCCGAAGCCGAATATTAGTAATAAGAAGGCTAAGCTATATAACAGTCGAGCTATTAGAGCTGAACTTACGGATCCAAGCTTTAACGAGGGTAAATTGTCAGTTCCAGACTTTTTATCCTCAAGAAACTTCGAAATAAAATCATTTGAGTTATCACAATTAAACTCCAAATATGCATCTTCAACGAGATGTTTTCAAAGTCTTCCAAGAACCTTAAGAAGGAGAACCGCATCTCATAATGTGAAGCGTATTCCTAAAAGATTGAGGAATAGGGCATTGAGGGAAATGCAAAATTCAATTAATGGGTTACCACCTAAAAAGAAGCATTTGCGTGGAAGAGAACTATACAGATTAAAAATGTCCAGAAGATTATTAAAGTTAGCATCAAGAATCAAGTCCCTAAAATCAATTCCAACTGAAGATATTCAAAATAAACCGTTGAAATTACGTCAGAAGTTGAAAATCTTGGATGAACAAATAAAGATGCTTAGCAAAAATACAGTTCAACCAAAGTTGAATAATAAAATGGGCTCTTACGATAATTCTGGAATAAACACATTTGCTCCTAAACCTAAGGGAAACTTAAAATATGCAAAGAGACAAAAAGATTTTGTATGGGTTCCTACTCACGTATGGCACGCAAAAAGATTTCATATGATAAAGAAATGGGGATATCAGATTCCTCTTGAGCCAACACAGAAATGTTTCAAATCTACTAATAGGGCTTCAAGAAATGAAACCATAATATATGACACCTCATACTACGACTGCTTAATCATAGAAACTATCAATAGTGAAGAAGCTCAAATACTTTTGAATAAAATTACTAAGTTAAAAAGCACTATACCTAAGAATATATCAAATGGACTTAAAAGTTATGATGATTGGCTATTTATGAATGGTAAACGAATTGGTAAGGGTTTAATCTATTTTGTTGAGGATATAAATAAAATGTTAATCCGAGTTCATCCGTCGTTGTATGAAGAATTTTTTGGGTACATTAAATCATTATTAAACGTTTCAGAGACAGGAAATAAGATTTTTGATTGTCGATATTCATTAGGTAGTATAGAGCTTAATGGCCCCAAATCTATTAATTCTTTAAGTAAAATACTTCACCTAAACGCTTCTGATTTAATTACTAAAAACTGGTTTGAATTAGCCAAATTAAATGATCCAAATTCAGTTCCTAATGGGACAACATTTTGTTTTAATACTAAAGACCCAAGATTCTTCAAATCGCCCACAAATGTGCCTTATACTGAAGTTGCTAATTTTAACGATTTAATTGTTCGCTTATCACAAGAAAGAACAGTTGATATAAATTCCCTAGACATATTATTGGACAATGGTAAGAGAAATAATACATATTGTGATCAACTTTCAACAAAAGAGATAAGCCGTGAATTTCAAAAAGACAAAATTATTCAAAAAAATCACGAATTTCCTATCCTAATTACCAAGCTGAAGTCATCAAGTAACTGGATACTTATATGTCCATGGTATTGGATATTGCCAATATGGTTAAAACTCAACCAAATACATCATATAAGCACAGGTGGAATAAAACAATTACATCAGATAAACTTCGAGCATGGGAAGGCCCTGTACCCTGTCGATTTTCAATTCTTAAAAGAAGGATTTTTAGAGAATAAGTTCAAAAGCCAAATTGCAGAAGTGCAATATTCGAAAAAACCCAAATCGAAACGACCAAAATATGAATTATCTGAAGGAATTATTAATCCATTTGGATGCGATTGGAGTTTCTTACAAAAAATGATATTTGCATCAAGTCTTAGTGCTAAAAATACGTTGTCTACGAGAAACCAATTCGGAAACTTTGATGAAAATCTTATCAGGACTGTTGAGTCAGTTAATGATGTTATCGCTCTTGTTAGGCAATGTAAATCTAATGATCAAATTCCAATAGAGTTGTTTGACAAGCACAACCTTCAGCATAAAAAGTTTATGAACAAATCTCTGTTAGAAGATATTACTGAATTCCCGAAATTACCAGTTTTACAGGTAAACTTAGAGATTCAAGGGAAAGGCACTATTCAAGATAATGCGAGAATTTACAAAATACCTTCAGAAGCCAGAGGTCAATACCTTAATGGTACCTTCGATCAATGTCCACTGCCTACTGAACTCATTGGATTTGTGACCAGTGGTTCCTACAATTTAAATCTCGGTCACGCATCCGGAATTGGTTGCATAGTAGCAGATCATGATGACGAATTTGCATTAGTTAGAAATGTTGGATCATCATTGGCAAAACTAGCCAAGTGGTCTACTGTATAACGTATATACGATATAAATTGTACAGAGTTTGAAGTTTTCAACCCTGGTGTTACCCGCATTTCTCAATCGAGTATTTAAGCATCGTCGATCTGCCAGAAAACTTCGTTTTCTGTTATACTTTTTTTCTTCATACTTACCTTGAGATGTTATGAGAGATCAAGTAGTCTTATAACCAGAATTTCTTGTTGGCATTGCACAGCGCTGCAAGGATGTTTCTGCCAACTTTTCTATAATTAGAGAAGTGTGGGTCTTTTAATTTTTGATTTCAACTAATTCTATGAATAGAAATTTTTCATTCATATTCAATTTTTAGCTACTTTAAGTCAGACGATTTAAAATGGATAAAGTTGTATTATAGAAATTAATTGTAAGTTGGATTAATTGAAATTGATCAACCAAATATATTGATTTTTCTGACAAACCATTAGATTTACGTATTTGATACTATTTATCATAATATGTTGATTTTAGCATCTCTTTCAGCCCTAAGATTGTGATTCATTATCCTAATGAATTAAATATTTTACCGCGTTATGTTGAGCTAGCTATCAATGTATAGAAATTTTCTCATCGAAGGTGATAATTCGACTGAATCAGAAATCTGCATTATGAACGCAGATTCGATGAAAAAATATCGATCAATGTTTGTCAATGAAGTAAGTTTATCAATCGTTATTGAATTTTCGTAACGCCAAGCTTATAAAAAGAATACTTCTACACTCACTCTTACAATAGCCGTACATGTCTATTCTGTTACAGACACGGCGAAAGCTGCTTAGAAATCTACTGTAATTATTCTTGCTGTACAACACGTAAACCGTAAGCCTCTACGTTGCATCTCGAAAATGCAATGAATCATAACATACGGCCACATCATTCTAAAAAAAAAGAAATTGTTGCAATTACTGAAATAGCAAGGTCAGAATACTAATATCTATTCTATATACCCATATGCAGTTTCCTCAGACAAATTATCCTTGTTCGTTGTCCAGCTTTTTCTATACCACATCTCCATAATTCACACCACAATTTCCTTTTAACCATGTGCTCTTCTCTCAATGCCTCTCTTGTTTAAATTGTTATTGTTGTTCTACACTATGTCTCCTGTCTATCCTTCTATTATATTAAATGAAAGGGATCCACAGTATATGCAGCCACTAAATTATTACTATTTTTATCATATGATATTTTGATTTGTGACCCTTTAGTAAAATGTTGCCTGAACGATATGCATTGTTGAACCACAATTTAAGGGCACATCTGTACCACATGTGTGTTACATTCTTTTGTGGACCAAGCCCCAGCATCGTAATGCCGGAAAATCTTTACAAAGTTTATTTATAGTGTCGCCGCACAGTTGCCTCGGGGCCCAATTGGGGAAAGATGCTTCCGCATTAAGATACAACCAGTAGAGATACATACATCCAGCATTCTGATAGTAAAAATTTTCTTTTGCCGCTTAGTTAGACTAATACCTTTGATTGATAATAGATAAGATATTAAGATATAAAAGGAAGAGGTGGGCACTGATTTTTTGTTAATTTATTTTTTATCATTTATACTTTTAATTTCAAGTAATCAATTCATTCGCTACAATATGCAATTCTCAAAAGTTTTAGTCCCAGCTGCTTTAGCTGCTTACGTTTCTGCTTCTAACGTCACTGTTACCACTGACATCGTTGTCACTGACTACACCACCTACTGTCCAGAACCAACCTCTGTTGTTGTCAACAACAAGACCATCACCGTCACCGAAGCTACCACTTTAACCATCACTGGTCCATGTACCATCCCAACCACCTACACTACCGACGCTGAAACCAGCAGTGCTGAAACCAGTTCCCCATCTGTCACTTCTGTTGAAAACGGTGCTGGTAAGGCTGTTGTCGGTGCCGCTGCTGGTGTTGCCGCTATCGCTGCTGCTCTTTTCTAAGTTGATTAGTTATGTTATTGAAGATTTCAGACGAGCTCACGCTGGTCGATGATTTTTGAAAAGGCCTGGCTAGATATTAGGATTTAAAGTTTCTATCGGTATTTTTTCCATTTTCGAGCTCCTTCAGAGTACCATTTTTAATATACTTGTACCGATGTTGTCGGATCTAGTGATTTTATCTTGTAGTTTTAAATTCAATGACTATGACATTGTATCTAAGCGGTATTCATGGTAGCAAGTGGCTCATTTTAGTCTTACAATAGAAAAGGACGATTAATTAATAGTATGCTATTGTAGTAACTATATAGTAGATTATTAGAATATACAGGAAACAGATTATAAACACCAACATAATAGTATTATCCCGCAATTCGACTTGACCACCTTACCCTATAGCAATGATGATCATGATGATGATGATATTAGTGATAACTTATATTAATACATTAGTAGAAGTTTTTGCTAGTAATTATGATTATTTGACTCAGTCGTGACTGCCTATTCCCTCAAAATCTAAAACTCATGTTCAAAATGTTTTCTTCCACAATTAGGTTTTTTGATAGAATAATATGTATGCATTCTTCGTCGTTTCTTCGTCGCCGCCGTTCAATACTTCGTCTTTTTCAACTTCGGAAATTTGGGTGTCATCAATTCTTATCCATTGATTGTCAATCTTCTTATCATTGGATTCTTCCTCGTTATCAAAAACGGATGATTTTCTTAATACGTCACTTGTATAATGACCACCCTCTGCACTAATGCCATGATGGTAAACAACACCAAATAACCTGTAGTGATTACTGTTGTTGCCAGAATGTTTATATAATGGAGATAAAACTTCGTTAGGAATTGTCAAATGATGAGAATACTCTATTTTCTTACGTAATTTTTCGATACTTCCCAACGATCTTGAGCCATTTGACAACGTATTCGATGATTGGTCATTAGACGAAGCATTCTCCTTTTCACCTTCTTGTTGATATGAGAATCTCTTTAAATGAATTATTAAAATATTAGGTAATTGATCAATAAAAGTTTGCTTCTTAGCGATAACTTCTTTGTTCGACGAGGATTTGTAAGGTATTTTTTCTGGTTCATTCAATTGTTTAAATGCATCTTCAACGGTAGTGATAGATGGTTCTGAAATATCCAATTGGATACATTGGAAAGGATCCAAAGTGATAGATTGACTTTCCTTATTCTTAGGTATTTGTAATACAGATCTAAATTGCCCTCCAAAAAAAGCTGTTATTGGAGATGGTTCTATTTCAACAGTTCTCTTAGCGCTAACTTTCTTATTATTAGAACCTACCTCTGACCAACCATTACTTTCATGATCAGAAACTTCCTCTTGGTTAGTGGTATCTTGATTTTCTGATTTGGATTTTTTAATGATTTTCATAGTATTCTTAATATTCATCTTGAATTCATTTAATTTAAGTTGATCAATATCGTCATTTTGTTGTTGAAACTGTTGAATTAATAAATCAATTTGAGGAGTATTCAACCCCTTAATTGCTCCAACGAACTCTTCGTGTAACCCATCTAAAAAGTATCCCAAAAATTCTTCAGCATCTTCTTGTTGGCCCCATTTCAAATGTGAAAACTTTTCATGTGTAATCAAACTCATGTAAAAATTATCTGGAGAAATTGGCTTCATGCTCGATGGTTGACTAAACTCTTTCCAAAACTTAATCACTATATCTAATAACGGAGTTGTTGATTTTTGACTTAATGAACCAATGGATTTACTCTCTATCAACTTAAGAGTTTTATTAAATGGTTCACAGTATAATAAAACTTGTAAAATCGCATTCATATAACATATATTTCCGGTGTTAGTCAATCCTCTAGGTTTCACCTGGAAAATTGGGCAATTATTGTAAGAATTCATTACTGAGTAATTAGTATCAAACATAATCTTCAACAATAAAATACCTAGTGGCTGAGAAGAGTCCGAAGCTAATATATTATTTGCTTGTGAGATATTCGTTGGAGAGATGACATCAGTCGTAGAGCCAGAAGCGGGTATTTGATTGTGTCCTGTCGAAGACTTAGGTTGTGACTTTGATTTCTTAGTTGGTACGGTTGCTGTTGTTTGTAAAAATGAAGCCCAATTACCGGACTTGTTGTCTTTATGTTTTTCGGTTGAATCCGCTCCTCCAAGATTAACTTCATTACTTTTATCATTATATTTGTTACTATTATCATCATTATCATTAGGTCTATGAGTATTATAATTATTATTCTCAATAGTTTTGTGAGTAGTATTAGTGTTGTAATCTATAATTGTGATGTTACTGTTTCTATTAATAACTAAGCTTTGCTCTTCATTACTTTCTGACCTGATAAATTCATTCAATCTTTCATTTTTCTGTTTAAATAACTCATTTCTTCCAGAAGCGATTGATTGCTGTAAATTCGTAAAATTCTGTGGCCTTTCATTGAAATATAATGGATACGACATTGGTTTGTTATGGTTCGATGGTATTTCCTCTGAATCCTCTCTTGTAGTTGGAGCTACAGTATCATGCTTCTTTCCTTCTTTGCTGGTTTCATTGTTAGCGTCTGCAGATACTGAGATATCCGTTTTGGTTTGATCGGATTGTGATTTCTCTTCAACGGACTTTTCGGGTTTATTTTCTTGTTTCCGCTGTTCTTGTGGGTGTGGGTGTGCAGCCAGGGGAGTTTGTTGGTGATGTTGATACTGGTTTGAAACATTTGACGAAACTGAAGACGAGGACCTTGATCTTCCGGAATTAGATATGTATGGCTTGGATTTATTATTATGGTTCATTTTAGGCCTGGTGTTCATCATTACGTTCATATTCATATTCCCTCCCCCATTCATATTTGGCATTCCTGGATATGGTTGACCAGGGTACTGTGGAATTTGCATTGGGTACGCTCCGTACCCTTGAGTATATGGATTGAAGTCAGAATATGGTGCATTCGGATGCATCATATACGGTGTCATATATGGGTAATACTGATTAGGCACCATCTGCGGTGTCCCATACATGTACTGAGGGTATATGTGCTGTTGTTGTTGCATTTGTTGGTTCATGACTCCCGGAGAAGGAACACTCGGTGAAAAGCTAGCAGCGTCGCTGCGGAAACGATTGGGACCACTATTCGATGTGTTCGAAGATGTAGACATATGTTCTTATGTTATTCGATGTAATATGACGACGTAATTAACAAAACATGAAATAAATGAATAGATATTCTTGGAATCGTTTTCTTCAACTATTATTATCGGTTGAATTTTCCTAATTACCAATTATGAAATAAGAATATCTTTCTTTTCCTTTAAATAAAATGCAATTTAACTCTTGATGAATGACTGATGAATATAAATAATTCAATATTTATATTTTATATACAATGTATGTGATTTATGAATCTGTTTACTTAATGAAATCAATTACCAATATTAATCGCCCTAGTGGCCATTTATGTGACAACAGAAAAAAAATTGAAAAATTGGTTTTGTGTCACTTTATCAACATTTTTTTCCAACGAAATTTTTTTGGTTGGTTGAAGGATTTATTATGTAAGCATTGACCATAGATTATCCAGGGATAATACGGTGAAATAACGATGGGTATATGGTGAGTTAGTGGCTGCAATGGATAAGGCTAGGAGATGACAGCATATGGGTAATGATGATAGGTGTTTGGTTTGGTTTTGGGGCAGGAGTGAGTTAAAATAACGGGTGATTTGGTTGTCATGAAATTTTGCAATTAGATTGTCTGCATCAATCATACGGAGTGGAGAGAGTGTAGGAAATGTATCGTCAGCGATAGTGGTGCATCCAGGCTCCCTGCAGTTTTCCAATTGGTCGGGCTGTTCCGGAGACGATACATATGATGCTTGAAATTCTTCACAAGAACAGTACCATGACTTCAAGTCCACGACATTCAGTTCGCGTTTGGTTGCAACAGCTTCATTTAGTTCTTTTTGAAGACGTATTCTCTCGTCGGAATTGTCCGAGGACCTCGAAAACGGGGTCAGAGTGTTGCTCTGGAAGACTTTCAGCGTGCTGGTAGACTTAGGTATCGTTGTAAGTTCTCCAGAGTCGTTAATAGTGAGTCCCGCGTTGCTTAGCATTCTTTCTAGATCCAAATAGGCCAATCTTTGGCTTATTTCGGCCAATCTCTTTTTAGACACTCTTGTTTTAGAGCGTTCTCTTACCTGTTTAACCTGGGTCACTTTGACGCTAATTGGATGGAAAACACCTGTACCTGTAGATCCAAAGTTCCCTTGAAGATAGTTAGCGCCTAGTTCGTTCACTAGTTCTTTATCTGTTCCTTCTTCACAATAAACAACAACATTTATATTGTTAGGATCAGCAAGGATACTTAACGCATCTAAAAAAGCTCTTCCAAATGTAAATGTCAATAGGAGACTCTTATCCTCGTCTATCACCAAAACATCATTCTGTTTCTTATTCTTCGCAACTTCTTTTTCTGAAATTTCTTGTATTTGGGAATATATAGCTTGCAATTGAATCGTCTGACTTTCATCTAAGACTTCTGATTCCCCTATTTGATTCTGAAGGAATTTTAATAAAATTGCAAGATGCGATTCCCAATGAAATAGATCTTGTATTAACAGCGGTAGAATACTTAATATTGCCGAATTATCTTGTAGAAGCGAGTCATGTTCATTAATACTATTATCATTACTTTCATTCATTGTAGAAAAGCATTTTATACATCTAAGAAATATGGTTTATCAATTATGATCTATCGACTAGTTCAAATCGAAACGCGACTTGAAATAAATAAATGGTTCTAATAAAACATACAAATATTAATACTGTTTTAATAGAGAAACAATCTAATTATAGAAAGAATGTCTGACGATCAAGCATGGATGAGTTCTTTACCTTCAGATCTACAAAATCAAGTTAATTCGCTTATCAAAGCACATCCTCTGAGTTTACCAGTCATACATAAATTATGTGAATATTTCAACACCCAGCTCAGTGAACATGAAGACAAGAGAAGAAAATTAAGTCCCGAAACAGAGATAAAAACTGAAACTCATGCACCTGAAACATTTCCCAGTCCTAAAGTTGAAGTTTCGGGTCAGATTCATGAACAAGAAATAATCTTTGAGTTACCGCAAATTTCATTCCAGTCACCAATTAGAAAGAAGTTGAACTTAATATTCCATTTATGGGTTGAACCAGGCCAATCTCCTAAGCCCGTAATGCTGCTTGCATTGCCTACTACATATGTTCCTGAGATCTCAATTCATGATTTAGCGAACCTGATAAAATTATGCATATTGTTGCCAATATTAGGGAATTCAACTAACAATACTAAGCGTAACATAGGCTTGTTGTGTTTTTGGTTGCATGAACATGCTGCTTCAGACCCTAATAAAAATGACCCCATTATTTGTCAGGTTAACTTTGATCAGGTCAAAAAGCAATTAATAAAAGCTGGTAAAATTCCAGCCGAAGCTGAGACTCAGCTCAAGGAAATGAGCGAGACTAATGAAAGCCAAGACGGAATCAAGGCCATAAATGAAGCCATTATCAATTTCTTACAAAAGCAATTTCAATTGTGTGGTATTCATTTAATTAACTATTTACCGTCCTCTAACGCAACAAGAAATAAATTGACTATCAACACAGATGCTGGAATTGCATTATCACTGAAGGCTAACCTGGTTAATGATTTAGTTATGGTTGAGGCATACAAAGGGGCACGAGATGGTGCTGTTTTGATGTTGACTGCAAATGAATATAACCAACCGTATATCATATTTGGATTTAAGAAACCAATATTGATCTTTGATATATCGAAAGTGCAACATGTCTCATATAGTAACATCACGAGGCTTACATTTAGTATGATTGTTACGGTGGTTAATGAGAAGAAGGATTCGAAAGTCGAGACATTAGAATTTGGAATGATTGACCAGAAATATTTTCAAATAATGGACGAGTTTATTAAAAGCCAGGGTATCAATGACAATTCATTTGATGAAGACTTAAGAGAAAAGGGTACAGCAAACGCAAATACAGGTGAAACCCAACAAACAACCGAACAGGCAGAGCCTGCGGATAGCGATGATGAAGAGGAAGACGGTACTTTCCAAGTTGGACAAGAGGAAGAAGGCGAGAGCAGTGTCGACGAAGAATACGACAGTAATGCTGGAAGTGATGGTGATAGCGATGTTGGTGAAGAGGAGGATGATATCAAGGAAAACGGCGAAAATGCTGATACGGCATCTGCCGAAGCTAACGACATTCTAACTCAGAATAAGGAAGAAGACGCTGAACAGCCATAATCTACGCGTATGCAAAAGTAAATATATATATATATAATACTATAAATCGTAAAAACTTGAAACCAATGAGATCATCTTTCGGAAATGTGTCACTGATAACTATATGAATCCACATATGCAAATTTAGAACGAGCTTTCTAAAACAACCCTCCTAGGGCATCCCCTAAATTTTATCGCCGAATTAAGTCACAAGCAAGACTACAGTCCTCACATTCTGTCTATTTCTCAGCTGTCGAAAATTTGTCCATCAACTTGAAGAATCTGCCTCTCTTTTCGCTGATAAATCTGTGGTCTGGCTCTTCCTTGAATTCATGGAATGCATCCTTGAGTGCTCTTTGTTCACGTAAAATAGTCAATCTTCTGTCTAACAACTCTCTGTTGTTTTCAACGATATTACTGAAAATTAAGTATCCTCCAACAAATGCACCGACTGAGTAAAGATAACCCGGCACTCTGTTGAAAGATCTTGGGTATTCCTTACCAACAATCAGAACTTGCATTCTTCTGGTAATTAAACCAAGGAACCCGCTTACTAAAATACCCGCTGGTGAAGCAACTACCATCTTGTATAATAATATATTGTTAAGTTATGCTAGATAATACTTCTTGTATTACTGTTTTCATTTAATTGACGGTTTATTGGTTCAATGCGATTTTTTGTTCTTCAATTTTGTGACACTTTTTTGAAAAATTGTATTAGGTAAGGCACACAAATTATGGAATTAGATAACTTGGTCAGGGTGGTGGCTACAAGGCCGTTGTTCAAGCTGTGACAGTGTCTGTCGATGCTTTGGTAGTACCAGAAGACTCGGAATAATCTTCAACTACTTAAGGGACAGTTAATGTGTGGTGGTGGGTCTTTTATTGTATCACGTGATATAATACTAGTCCAGTATCAACTCTATACCTGCCACAATGGAGCCAATAATTGTAGTGAATTTGTAGAGACAAACGATTGTTAGAGCATACAGTAGGAAAGGATGACGAAAGGTACACAGCCGCTTATTAACTTCTTCAAGGGACATCCAACCAATAGTTTGCTTCCTGCTAAGGAAATTGCTAATTCTTATAAGAAGGTATTATTAGAGTACGACTATACGAAGTATGATAATGACCCATTGAACAGACATGCATTGACGTATGGCGCGGATGCTGGTAATTTGGACACAAGGAAGGTTATCAGTAAGTGGAATGATAAGTATTTTGGAAGAAATGACACGGATCCAGATTGCATTAATCTTACAGGTGGGGCATCCTATGGGTTTGCCAACATTTTAGCATCAGTGACCGACACCAAGAATATCACGCAGAGAGGGTTTATTGTTTCGCCTACGTACTACTTGATTACTCCTTCGTTTATTGATGCTGGTTTTGGAGACAAATTGACAGCGGTGGTTGAAACTCCTGGCGAAGAATACGAAATAGACTTGAAATATTTGGAGGAGCAGTTAGAGTTCTATGATAAGGGATTACCGCTGGTTGGCGACAAGGAAATAAACATTATTGCTGATCCCTCAGGAAGACCTGATCGTAAGTTGTATCGCTACGTTATCTACATTGTTCCTACATATTCAAACCCCGGAGGGTTGGTATATTCAACGAAGACAAGAAAAAAGTTGTTAGAATTGGCAAGAAAGCACGACATGCTAATTGTCAGTGACGATGTTTATGAGTTATTGAACTATACTGATTCTGACAAACCTATTCCAAGGTTCAGTTACTTAGACCGCGATTCGCTTCCTGAAGGAAACAAGTTTGGTAATACTATCTCCAACGCAACTGTTTCCAAGCTTTTAGCCCCGGGACTCAGGTTTGGATGGCAAGAAACCCCCACGCCCAAATTAGTGCAGCAATTAGCAATAACAGGTGCTAATCTTTCTGGAGGAACTCCAGGTCAACTTGCATCTATTGTTGTTCAAGACTTAATTACAAGCGGTCAAGCCGACATTATTATAGCCGGCCTTATTAAGGTGTACAAATCAAGAGCTCAAACGATGCTCAAAAGCATCAAAAAATATCTCCCTGCTTGCACCAATGTATACGGTGGTGAAGGAGGATATTTCTTGTGGGTGACAATTAATGCCGATATCGACCACACTAAAATAGTCGACATCTTAAAAGAAGAATATAACATCATTCTTGCATCTGGAAGTAACTTCGAAGTGTGTGGTGATGAGAAAGGCTGGGGAAAGAATAGTGTTAGATTATCTGTCTCCTTCCTCAACGAACTCGAAATCGAAGATGGTATCAGAAGATGGGGAGAAGTGCTCCGCAGAGAGCATATAGAGATATTCAGAAACTAATTATATGTATAAATGCTGCAACTTGTTAGTAATTGAACTATTTAGTTTTCGTAACAATTTTTTAATTAAATCAACTGTATTATTCTCAGCGTAGATCTTGGTGTAACTTTGTTCTATTCTCATTAAAATTTTCGATATAGGCGAAGTTTTATCATCATAATAATACAGTATAGTTAACTAATAAATTTTTATCCATTACATACTTATTAATTGAGTTAAAATGCATAACATAAATAAGAAAAGAAAATAAACTATCCTTCAGTTGTAATGAAAATTTTATGGGTGAATTATTGTCCTAAAGTATTTAAGTAGTTACCCGGTTTTATGTCTTCCATAAACGTTTTTGCGGCAATTCATTCTTAACCCTAATCAAATAGACATCTTTCTAGCACCTATTCACAGTTATTAGTGTAGCAAAAACGTAATACTAAAACTTAAACTCCCTAGATGGAAGTAACTTTAACTTTATATTTTTCATTAATTAGGTTATAAAGACTTTAGATACAGAAATATTCAAATTGCGACGAATAGAATATTGTAGGATATATTGTTTAGAAACTCTTCCAACTGATCGCCTATGTATTGCTACCCATGACAATATGACCAGTGAAAGGGAACATGTAAAGGTATAAGTATTATATTTGTTGAAATTCTTATCTATCCTAAGTATTACAAGTATACATAAAAACTTGTAGGTTACCCGGGTTTACAAGTAGTTCAATGTTTTTGCGGCAATTCGAATTCACCTTTCCATAAATAAGAAGATAGACTTATTATCTATAGTGCCAAACACGGTTGTTCAAGTAACGACTTCATACTATTGGCCTTAGCATACTTATAATTATAATTGGTTATGCATTTTTATTTTCCTGACTGGGTAATTAAATACAAAGAACACCAAATTTCGGCATTATCGCTTTATTCATACATTATAGATTGGAGTATCTACACTTTGATATTAGTTATATTTATGGTATATGGGACTTTGCTAGCTCCAAGATACCATGAATTCCTGTTACTGGACTCAGCATTAATGTACTCATATAAAAGCGAAAAAGAAACAGTAATACCGCTCTACATGTTGATAATAATAGCAGTTATCTTACCAATTATTCAATTCATTTTTTGTTCTATATATAATCGACATACTTTATCAAGTGTTAGAAAGGCATGGGATATATTTTCTGGCTTGACCGCATTGTCTGGTAGTATGGCTACACAACTAATGATCACTTGCATTCTCAAGAATATATGCGGATTACCCAGGCCGGACTTGATTTCTCGATGCCAACCAATGCAAACTGAAATGTCCACATACGGTCAATTAGCCACAGTTGAGGTTTGCCAAACGTTTCTGAATGATAGAGTTGGAACTTCCCTTCACATACTACAAGAAGGTTTCCGTTCATTTCCCAGTGGACATCTGTCTACTGTTTTTTGTGGCATGGTTATAACGAGTTTGAATTTTGCTGGAAAGTTGCAAATTTTCGATAAACGAGGAATATCCTTTAAAGTATTATTAGCTATATGTCCAATTATGGTTGCTTGCTTTGTTTCATGCACAAGAATCAGTGACAATCGACACTTCCTAAGGGATGTCATCGGTGGGTCTATCATAGGAACACATGTTGCGATATGGTTTTACTTGCAATACTTCCCAAGTGTCTTTAATTTAGAGAATTGTGGACGGGCATATCCTCCTAGGAGAATCGGGGTTGCAAACTTCTTTAATAATGTAGGGGGGTTTTGGAAGATACGAGATATCTTACCTGGTGCCTATTCCGAAAGGGTATTAAATAACCCGGGTGTGATACCACAATTATCTGGTGAATTACAATCTGCTGAGTCAATATCCGCAGTGGACATAGTCAATTTATCAACCAACATATCCTTTTTTAATAAACTAACTAGCCTCCTACCAGATAAATATATTAATCTAAATAATACGGATCCTATATTACCCGTATGGACTTCTAAATGTGGTGATAATGATCATCAAATTAGTCCAAAGAGCATTTAACTATATGACTATAGATAAATGCTAATGCATGCATTCATTGTAAATATGACAATAAATAATTTGATATAAGTTCTTATAAAATATTTCTCGCTTTCTTTCTGGCCTCCTGTAATCTATCGTTAGTCCTATCTACGTCTTGGTTGACCTGGTCTAATAACTCATTCTGCTCTTCAACCTCAGTATTAATAGTTTGTCCAATTTCTTTCTGTCGTTGAATTAGCCGTCTTAATTGAGCTACATCTTGATCCTGTTGCTGGTGTATTTGTTTTTGCTTTTGTAAAAGCTCTTGGTTGTTGAAAGGGAGCGTTTCATTGGTCTCTTTTGCGTTATCAGTAGTATTAGCCCCACCTAAGACCCGTCTACTATTAGAAAATAAAGTTTGCTTGTTTGAATTCTTACCATTCAAAGCGTCTAAATCGCCAAATAACGCACCCAAGTCACTCTTAAGCGATTCTAATAAATCCTGTCTCTTGCTGTATTCCCGTTTATCAATTTTATGGTTGTTAAGTAAATTAGTTAAAGAGTCCGAAAGCTGGGCCAAATTAGGCTTAATGATTTTATTAATCTTATCTCTAATATCCACCTTCATACCAATGTTTCCGGAGGTGTTATAAGAGTCTCGAAGTTCATTTATATGGTACCTGAATAACCTTGAATATTCGAGCCACTTATGCGAATCAAGACCTTGAGCATCCAGTATTATTAGTTCAGTAATACTAGCATCTTTGTTTTTGCTTTCAAAAATACTAGATGTCACATTAAAGCTAGCTGGCAATTGCAAAAATTCGTGCACAAGTGGATGGTTTTGTAAATCTCTATCTCTAAGTACTTGATTCAAAAAATGCGCTAACTCGATTTGTCTCTCCGAAGCAACAGCATTCTTGTTTGTCATAGACCATATACTAGCCTTCAGTGGTAGCTTATAGGGAAAATCTTTGTTATTTATTCCTATATCATAACATAATTGATCAACTAGATGAGTAAACTCCGAATATCGCCTCAGAACACTAGTGGACCTTAATGGCATTTTAATTTTCAAATTATAGAATACAACATTATCCTTCGAAATTGAAGTTGTTGGGATACTTATGACCTCATTCGAACTCATCTATTATGATGTATCAATATTCTTAATGAAGTATATTATTGAACTTTCATTATGGCTCTAACTTATTTGTTCCCGAGGGAATAATAATCACGCGAAAACATACAAAACATTACCGTAACTGATAACAGGCAATCATAATTATATTATCCATCTTTATTTGAATAGCTGTATTCTGTTAGCAGTTTTTGTTGTTAAAACTAGTAAACTATTAAAATTGCTTATAATATACCAGATTCTTATTATTGATAAAGAAGCTGATTAATTCCTTTCGGCACTTCACAATTGATTGCTAATTTTAAAGTAGCAAGCCTCGTGGAATAAGTAGAATTGCTCAGTTGGTTTGAAACATGAGTTCGGAGTATCAATCTATACCTCAAGAGGAGGGATCAAGTACTAATGCAATTAGTGATGAAATGAACCGTTTCCCAAAGAAAGATAAACATGCAAGCACGGATTCTATTGTTTCTACAGATGCTGAGAGACAACCATTGGTCGATAGAGAGTCAGGTAATCATCGATATTTGAGTCCAGATGATCCCATAGTATCCCCAATAAACTTGTACAAGATAAGGATTCTTAGAATTACTTTGCTTACAATATTTGCCATCAACTGTGTCCTTTTCTTTGGATTTTTGTTATCTGATTTCATTGCTATACCAGGATTGAACAATCGGGGAAAATCATTTTTAGAATTAGATTTGGTGATTCTAAATATCTTAACAAATCTTGTTACGTTGTGGTGCTTTGTGGTACCGGCATACTATGAACGTATTTTAGGTTACATTAGTGCATCGTTGATATTAGTCGATTTCATTATTATGTTTTCCGTACCTTACATGAGAGATCAATTTGGGATAATTGGCACATTCATTTTATTATGGACTTTAGGAAATATCGTTCTTAATTGTTTTGCCGATTTCTGGGTTGAGAAAGGTAAGTTATATCAGGAACTTAAGTACACAGGGAGAGAAGAAACGAGAAGATCAATTTCTGAGCTTTTTGTTATTGCTATTAAGGTCCTAGTGAAATTGTTTTTGTTGTGGATAATATGGTGTATCAGTTTGAGTCTTTGGCTCCAAGCATTTGATTCACACGAAAAGCCGTGGGGGAAGATGATTTCGGTTGATAATGATCAATTCAAAGTCCATTTAGCTTGTTATGGTGATGTTCATGCACCACCAAACGATATTAATGCAACATCAAATAAGACGAAGCAGCCTGTAGTATTGATTGAGGGAGGCCAGTTAGACTCTAGTGAGGTTGTCCAAGAATGGGTCGAGGAGCTCTACCACCTCGGAAAAATCGATAGATATTGTATTTGGGATAGACCCGGATATGGCTTCTCAGATAGTGCACCATCGCCCTCGTCTATTGGGATTATCAGTGAATACTTGATTGAAGCATTGAGAAAAGAAAAAATTGAAGGCCCTTTCAGTCTTGTCGGGTTTGATATTGGTGGCCTATATGCCAGAATGTTTGCATCAAGAAACTCGGGCAACATTCATTCCTTGTTATTAGTGGATAGTTGGCATGAAGATCTCTTGAAAATCCGTCCTTTCAGCGGACCAAACATGAAAAACGAAAAAAAGCGTGTCTTCAAAAACATCTTGGAACTCATGGATACCAAAACCGGTCTCAAATTATGGTTAAAGGGCTTGGTTTCACCTTTGGGCATTGTCACGAACATCAACTGGTTTTTCCATCCAAAGAGACATTCTTCAAACAACCGTATATTTGGCTCCGACATGTACTACCTGTCTAAATACATAAGAGCCCGCTTACAAGAGCAAGTCACGGCCTCTATATTGTCCTACAATGAAATGGCTGGCACTGATTTACACGACGTCCCTGTTAGTGTCATCTCGTCCGACTTTATGATCAAAAATTCCTTAAACTGGGGTAAATGGCAAAGAAGTTTGACCAAATTAAGTGATCAGACTATTGAATGGGTAGTTGCAGAAAATAGTAACCATTTAATCTGGAAAAGCCCCAAGGGAAAAGCTCAATTGCAGCAATTATTACTTCGTTTAGTCAGTGAAAAATCGAATTATTAGATAGTATATTTATGTTTATGTCTTACATTTGTAATGTTTATATTCCTTTCACGTGAGTTTTGTACCCAATAAATTTTTTATTGCGCTGGCTTCGAATGTTTACTGGTTTTATCTCCAGAAATAACTTCTTAAAACACTCTAAAAGCCCGACTTTTTGAAAAGTTTTTAGGAATCTAGGGTTTGAGAAGTATATATATTCTATTAAGTATAAAGTGGTCTAAGTTTTAGAGAAATATTGGCTTTCTTTTCGTTCCATTAGTTCTTTTACGTGATTTCGTATACACCACACATTGGAGTTTCATAAGACAATAATTATTGATCTAACTTAAAATAACAACTAGGATATCCATATCACATTTTCAATAGATAATATAGAAGCTAATAATATGATTGGTGAAAGTACATCAGGAGACGTGAATCCTGCTTTGACAAGAAATATTTCTACAAATAAGAGTACGCCGGTAAGCTCGCCCTCATTGAGCTTTCGATCATCACCACCAGAGAACAATATTGAGGGATCACAGACGCAAGGGCCTAATTTAACGAGTACCGTTTCTTACGGGGAGGCAGCACCAGGTGCATATCCACCTGGAGTGAGTGTGGAGCGAAATAGCAGGACTAGTACCCCTAATGAAAACGCGAATGGTATGTCGAGCGAGTCGACAGATGGACCAGGTTCAAATTTTACGCTGGCGAATGGGCCGGGACAATCTGAGAATACGGTGCCTACAAATGGATCGCTGTCAAATATAGTGTCGAAGACTCCTTCTAACACTGCCAATAACCCCCCGGGTCCTACAAGAAGATCATCGTTTGGATTAGGGTTCTTAAGCTCTCTTACTAATTCTATTAGATCACAGCATAATACGTCATCTGCGTCTGAGACACCACACAACTTCATGTCAAATAGTCCTACTATTGCCAACTTGAATAATTATTCGATGTCGTTATCGGAGCCTAATGAACCTATAATTAGCGAAGATGCTATACCTCATTCAAATGAAACCAACGTATCGGAATCAAGTAACAGTGATTTTGACCACAATGCTGAATTGAACAATTTGTCTAATTTGAATGATGAAGCTATAGACGGTGATCGGACGCGGGTCGCAGTGAACAATCCGTCTGAAGACCAGTTAGCAGAAGGGTCGAACAAGGTTGCTGATAACGGAATTGATAAAGATGGTTGTTTTTCTGTAAGATTAACACCATTAATAGACTATTCGTCTTCTGCATCGGGATTGTATTTTTCACCTATTATACGGAAGGTGAAACCTAGCAATAATATTTCAATAGGCAGATATACAGAAAAGAATAAGAGTGCAGCGCATGCACCACAAGGATCGTCCGCGCCGATAGTTTTCAAGTCGAAGGTTGTCTCGAGAACTCATGCATTATTCCAATGTAACGAAGACGGGCAATGGTTCTTGAAGGATTGCAAATCGTCCTCGGGAACATTCCTTAATCATATAAGGTTATCACCAGCATCACAAGCTCTGACATTAATGCCATTAATAGATGGTGACATAGTACAATTAGGAATGGATTATAGGGGTGGTACAGAGGAAGTTTATAGATGTGTTAAGATGAGGTGTGAATTCAATAAAAGTTGGCAACGTAAGGTTAACCAATTCAATTTAGAAATTCACCAGAAGTTGAAGAATTTGGCCATAGGCTCGAACGACAACGATATAGCCATGAATCCAATAAATAAGGCCCTTGCAAATGAAAATTTTTCAGAGTGTGCAATATGCTTACTTGAATTAGAACCATGTCAGGCGTTGTTCATAAGTCCTTGTTCCCACTCGTGGCATTATAAATGTATTAGGCCAATCATTATCAAGAGTTATCCTCAATTCTACTGCCCAAATTGTCGGTCAATGTGTGACTTGGAAACAGATATAGAAGACGAGGGTGAATAGGGAGGTTTCTGATCAACAATACCTTTATATAGTTAAATAATATTGGTTATTTGCGTAGCACAATTTCAATGTACTTCTCTGTATTGAACCCTCTGAGCCAACACTTAACCAGTTGTGATTCCTATGTTTCATACTCGTATTATTAGATTGACGATCAAATTTTTCTGTTTTCAGGCGTATACTCATATTCAAAGCCTAAATCATTTGGTACGAATTATCACCAGTAATCCTACTAAAATTCCCCAATTTAGAATAATTCGCAAAAAGTTGCAAATTGGATCACAACTTTACATTTTGTGAAATTTTCAAAAAATAATTCTTTACCCATACCTACACAATGTAAATTATTCACCTACAGTAGTAATTATGAAACTACAATGATTTTTAATGAAACTGCAATGATTTTTTTTTGTATTAATTTGTCTCAGTCGCTCCAACCTACACTAGCCAAGGTAAAAAATTCTATTATGGGCCCATGAACCATTCTCTAGTTACTCGTTTATGAGTTTTATCATTGAATAATTGTATATTCAAGTGTATTCAGTAATAGATCATGCGTGTCCTCAATAATGCAAAGGGTAAGAAAATATTATAGAATCTTTATGGCCTCATGCTTCTCATAATTTCCCCCACGCATAATAATTCCGGAACAACTCAACAAATCATGGATTTAACTTTCTCCGCGAAGTCCAATAATTTCCCATGAGATAAACTCAAGCTAACTGCAGATCTGGTATCCCGTAATCCTCATATTCCCTTCTCAAAAGCCGTAATAGAGCCTCAGATGTTTAAGTGTCCAATTGGATTCGCCTCACGAAAAATTTGGAGAATTGGCAGGAATCACAAGGCGAAGAACCGGGCGAGAAACTAAGCGATTATATACAGAGTCATAGCGAAATGGAACCGCGAGCCTGCGAAAGTGGTGCAATTATCGTTCGCCTAGAGAAGTGGTAAATAATGTTCGAGAGAACAATAAGATTTCTGCGATATTGTCGTAATAAGTCATAAAATAATAAAAAAGTTATTCCTATGGCAGTGGGGTACATAAAGAATATCGCGTTAAACCAATTATGGGGTACAATTTTGTTCCTGAAGGAGATGAGACGGCAGTATCTGATTGCTCCCCTCGTAAAGATACATGCGATTCGGCCATATTGCGAAGGGACATACAGAATATTTAGAACTTCTTTTGGGAGGGGTGCAAATATATAAATAGGATGTTGCCTGCTTGTATGTAAACTGAAGATTGTTATAATCACTACCAACCGAAGTACAATACAAAACAAGCAAAATGAGCTTACAACATGTTGAGGATATTAACAAGCCTGGAGTGGTGATCGAGGTGAATCCACTTAGCAAGAAGATGTCAGACGATTCAATGGGCCATGAAGTCCAAGACTTTATGGATAAGTTCTTAGATATGTCTGAGAATGCCAAAGAAAATGACAGAAAAGAGAAACATATGTCCTTGAAAGAGGGCTTGAAGACTTTCCCTAAGGCTGCAATGTGGTCAATTATCTTAAGTACTGCATTAATTATGGAAGGGTATGATACCAATCTTTTGAATTCATTATACGCCTTTCCTGATTTCGCTAGAAAGTTTGGTGAGTATAGCGAATCTGCTGGGCTGTACCAAGTTCCAGCAAAATGGCAAACCTCTTTGAGTATGTGTGTCAATGTTGGTGAAATTATTGGATTGTTCTTTGCAGGTATTATTGCTGATAGAATTGGATACAGAAAGACACTTATTGGTGCTTTGATTCTTACAACTGCGTTTATATTTATTGTTTTCTTTGCTACCAATGTCGAAATGTTGTTAGCTGGTGAGTTATTATTGGGTCTTCCATGGGGTGCGTTCCAAACTTTAACAGTTTCGTATGCTTCCGAAGTTTGTCCTACTACTTTGCGGGTTTATTTGACAACTTATGTTAACGTTTGCTGGGTTTTTGGTCAACTAATTTCTTCTGGTATCCTTCGTGGTCTCGTTTCCAGTGATATGGAAAATGTCTATCGTATTCCATTTGCTGTCCAATGGGTATGGCCAATTCCAATTGCTATAGGTATTTATTTAGCACCCGAATCTCCATGGTGGTTAGCAAGAAAGAATAGAATACAAGAAGCCAAGGATTCAATCAAAAGGTTACTTACAGTTAACGAACATTTACCAGATAAGGAGGTTTTGGCTGAAGCAATGGTGCAAAAGATACAGATGACTTTAAAAGAAGAAGCACTTCAGAACAGCGGGGAATCATTCTTAGATTGTTTTAAGGGCCAAGATCTTCGCAGGACCAGAATTGCTGCAATTGTTTGGGTCAGTCAAAACTTAACTGGTTCTTCGTTAATGGGATATTCAACTTATTTTTACCAACAAGCAGGCCTTGGGCAAAATATGTCTTTCACGTTTTCGATCATACAATATTGTTTTGGAATAATTGGTACTCTTGGCTCTTGGTTACTTTCCCAAAAAGCTGGTAGGTTTACAATTTATTTCTACGGGCTTTGCACCTTGTTTTGCATTTTATTCGTAGTTGGATGTCTTGGTATCAATCCAACAGAGTCATCATCATGGGGTGTTGGAAGTCTATTATTGGTGTACACCTTTGTTTACGATCTCACTATCGGTCCTCTTTGTTATTGTATCGTAGCTGAAATTCCATCAACAAAACTTCGTACCAAAACTATTATTATTGCCAGAAATGCGTACAATATTGCCGGGATTGTCACCGCAATTATTACTCCATACATGTTAAATCCAACCGCTTGGAATTGGAAAGCTAAGACTGGTTTCTTCTGGTCTGGTTTCTCATTTTTTGCAGCTATTTGGTGCTGGTTTGATTTACCTGAAACCAAGAACAAGACTTTTGCTGAATTGGATCAATTATTTGAAAATAAAGTTAAAGCCAGACACTTCAAGAATACAGAGGTTGAAGTCTTTAATGCAGACGAACTTATTGAAAAATTAGGAGAAAATGGAATCAAAGATCTTGTTGCTAATGGTACTACTAAAGATGAATTCTCAGAAAAAGTTTAAACCTCAGAATTCACATACAAAATATTTTAATTCTTCGGAGTTTGGCTAGTATTCCAGCTCCCTTTATTATCTAATACTATATACGAAGTTGTATAAAATGCAGAATTCTGTCTTAGTTTTAATGTAAATAATACAAAGATTTTACTCCATTATAAAATGTATCAAAAATCTATTTATGTATATGTAGATTATCAAAATATAAGTAGAAGCATTATCTAACTTGACAAACTATAAACGACAACGATGTATTGCATTAATGCGTAGTTATTAACTAATGTCTTCTAGATTTCAATTATCCAAGAACTAATTGCAGCGTTGACTGAAAGTAGTCAATATTTTGTCAGATTATTCTTTCAATTTCAAATTATCTCTGCATCCTCAAGCTCTTTTACATGTTTCGTTCATTGCATATAGCAATAGTAAATATGGGAATAGTAAAATATTTTTGAATGATACTATATATATATATATAATGTTCTGCTTAGGTCTTATCTTGATAATGATACAAAACCGTATTTTTATTATGCAAAAATATTGATTTGTGGATGTTAATTTTATACAAACCACTAAAAGCATTAGGCTATATAATAGGGTATATACACTGAAATGCTAGACTAATAAGTACTAACCACTACGAAAAGAAATTTTATAATATTTCATAATTATATTATCGAAAATATGGATAACTTATTGAATCAAAAATACCATGATACTGTATTACTCGCCCCTGGAAATTCTGTCGATATAGAGACTCCCACCATCAATATTGACACAAACCAAGAAAATAACGGTATTAATAGCTCAAATGTTGAAGAGGCAAGGATTTACCTCTCACAGTTGAGACTTAATAATGCGCCTGAGGATGAACAACGTCAAGGAGAAATATATCTATCAAAATTGCAGCAGCAGGCTGCGGAAAACGAAACTGGGACCAATCTACATCACCAAAGATTAAGGGAATCTACAATTGAAATAAGACAAAATGTTGACCTTCTTAATCTGTATCTTTTGCTTGACGAACATGGACAACCACATGAAGCACACAATGTAAATTTTGATCTTGGAAACCCTGCACTTAATCAAATGTATGCATTAATAAGAAACGACTTTAATAGGATGGACCAAAAGTTTACTGTGAAAATTGATGAAATGGACCAAAAGTTTACAAGGAAATTTAATGAAATGGACCAAAAGTTTACAAGGAAATTTAATGAAAT